CTTCTTCCGCCTGTTCAACTAACACACAGTTTGTTTCATCTCTTTATTGCCAACTGTAATATTATAAATATGTAAAATGTGTTGAAATTCTTAAACAGTGTTATGACCTTGCAGTATTTGGATTACTTCATTGTGCTTAATATTCTATGGATTATGCTGAAAGAAAAATTACAAATGAAAGTGTAAGAATTAATTCTTAATTCAAAACTTTGTACCTTTTTATTAACCAGCATCATCATCAAGTCACACCCTAAATTTTAATCATACACATAAATTTGCCTAATGTATGCAACTGGGGTTGGTTGTAATTGGTTGAGGTCCTATTAAAATTACACAGACATGTTACTGCATATTATGATTGATTTATCTAATTATACATCATAATAAATTTCTTTCATAATGCAGAAAAGTGAAACTCACATAGTAAATACAGCAGAATTATTATGAAAAGGAAAAAAAAAAAAAAAAAATCAGTCTTAACCAGTCTTCAGAAGACTTAATCAGCCTTCAAAGATGTGAACTCTGACTATGTGGAAAGAAAGAGCCTAGGCGATCTTTGAAAGGAAAATTCTGGTCTGTCATGGCTATGCTGATGATGAAAATAAGTAAAACTAATGTCTATCTGAATATCTGAACTGAAAATGAAGCACATATTTTCTGTTTCTCAAGTAATGTATGTGATAATGTAAAATATTACATTGTTTGCATAAAATAATAATATAGTATTTCACCTATTACATTCAAGCACGATGCTTATCACTCTTAAAAATTAAAAGAAGTGATCAAAGCAATAAATACTGCAATTTTTTTGTTGGAATGGAATGAACTGGCTGTATCAGTGTTTGCTTGGGCTTTCTGTGGTTGCAATTTCAGTACCAACAGCTCTGACTTACTGTCTACTCTAATGCAAACTTTGAGAAATTAATTGTTCTAATTCATTTCTAATCTTGACAACCTGTGGGTCACTGAGTGACCCATTTGAGTTTCAATAATAATGTATAATATACATAAAAATAAATTACAAAACATACATATGAAACAAACACTTGAAGAATTAATAAAAAATTTAACTGAATAATACAGTGGAACATTGTTTATGCATCTCTAAGAGGCTAAATAAGAAAGACATATAAATGAAATTTTAATTTAAGATGTAAAACATATATAGTATGTATATATTAGTTGCAAAATCTTGATACTACTAAACTACTATTCATATTACACAATTTTATTATTGTACTTTGTTTAAATATTAACTATGCACAAACAAATTTAAAATTAATATTTTAAATAAATATTCATATTTAAACAATTAAACATTTTTACAATTAATATTTTTAAAATATTTTTAAAATCATAAGAATGCAAATTTCTAAAATGAAAATTTGTAATTTTGTTAAATTGGGGGGGGTCATACTTTTCTTAATTACCATCTTGAATAAGTAATGCTTTTTTCTCAGGAACATTTTTAAGTAAAATTGAACTTTTTTAAAGAAAAAGTCTGTAATGTGGCATGTGTTTTGATTCTGAAACTTAAACAGAGCACTATGAATCGAATTTAGTTTTTGATATATTTTCTCTTTTGTATTATTCCACACAAAGAAATTTTTTAGGGTGCTAAAACAGGAGATCGCATTTTGAAAAGAAAGTGGGTTTATTTATTCATTTTCTTCATCATTACTACCTAAATTTTTATCTGGTAAAATGTTTTCAATAAATTCTTTTACTGTGCATAACTCTGACATCACAGTTTACGTGTTCTTCTATTCAAATATTTAATACCATTAATTTCCAGTCTTCTTCATCTATAATCACAGTTTCATCATCAACACTCTCTTGCCTCTGGATTTGCAAATCCCCCTTTAATGAACCAATTTTTAATTGTTTGTGGCTCTACTTGAATTCAGCCAAGCCAAATAATAAACATAGCCTCAAAATACACTGCTGGCCATTAAAATTGCAACCAGAAAGGGATGATCTGACGAACCTCAAAATCACATGAAAGGAAGAAGAGGTTGGGATTAGACAATGCAGACGGGAGAAACAACATCTGAAGCACTGCATAAAAGAAAAAGGTACTATTCGGTTTCGAGGGCCGTAACAAAATTGCAGCGAAAATGTACGCGCAAAAGCGCCAAATCTAGCAAACGCGGCCATTTAACAGCGCGCTAAATCTAGCGTACGCGCTGATTTCAGATTGCGTAAGTTTATATAGTTCTATATTTCTTAAGATGCCATTGAAATACTAATTTAATTTTTAAATCCTTTTTTGATTTTAAATCCTTTTTTGATATCCTATGGATTAATTTGGGAATTGCCCATGACGAAAACTCGGCAATAGAATTTTGGGTAAAGTGCAGAATCACCCACTGCTTGACGCGTTTTTAAGAATGGCACATACTCGGTATCCATGTGCACATCGACCCATTTTCACTTAAAAAAAAAAAAAAAAAAAATACTAAAATTGCACAAAAATGGCACTGTGCACACCCTTGACTTTATCTATGTACACATCGACCTATTTTCACTTGAAAAGTAAAAGAAAATTGACAAAAATCCAATTGTTTTTACCCTTGTAAAAAGCGGCAAACAAATAAGTGCGCGATTCTGCACTTTACCAAGAATATTTTCAAAGAAAAGACATCATTCATTATAGAAAATTATGTTTGAACAACCAGCGAGATGAAATTATGCTTTAGCGATAAGTCGGTAGCGAAATAGCGATGCAGGCATCCATTCAGTTATGTCTAGCAATTTTTATATAAATTAATAATTTGAAATAGTTATTTACTCTTATGCTTCCATTCAGTCATGTTTAGTTTTTTAGCCTTTTTCATATAAATCATAAAAATAAAAAGTATTACATGAAATTAATTTTTCATCTAAATTAAAACATCAATCTTAAATAGTTATTTACTATTATATACCTCCTTTCTTGCCGCAATTATTAGGGTTGCCGCAATTATTTTTGGCAGCATTGGCATCAACAATAGTTTGGCGATTTTTTACGGCCCTCGAAACCGAATAGTACCAAGAAAAATTATGTAGTTGATTTCTCATTCGGAAAGCAATCTGTAAGGTCGGAGTTTGATCAGAATATTGTGTTATGCCTCGAACAAGAAGAAGAAATGCTTACCAGTGGGCGTTGGAATTTGATAGTGGCAGGATCATTGCCTATCGCGAGTATGGATTATTGTTCCATGATATCGCCCCTCGCACTGGTCGACATCCAAACACAGTCATGCGAATATGGAATAAGTGGGTTGCTAAGGGTCATACTGAATGTTTAAATTTTAAAGCATATTGTAACTATTTTCTCAATAAAATTTATCTTATTAATCACCAAAAACGGACTGCTTCAAAATGAAAATACCATTAAGCCAAAACATCCTCTGCATACTGGTTTAAATTTTGGTTGAGTTTAACGTGCAGCCAAAAAGGAATACTGATGCCAATTCTAATCTATGACTGTTTTACACAGTTTCAATTCTTGGCAAAATGTGACTTTTGGAAGTGGAAATTTATTATCAAATGATTAATAAATAGTCCAGATTGACTATTTTCATGACATAAAATTCATAATTATTTATATACAGTAATTTATACTATGCCTGAGAGAAGCCATATATATTCTGCTTCTTACACAAATTTTTTTAATTAAATTAAATTATAGAAATAACAGAATGTTAGAAAAAGCCAACTTTAATATTATTTTAAAATTATGTAATACTTTCAGTATTAAGATTTCATGTGACCTCTTTTTATTTCAGATTTGCGATTCTGATTTGATGATCACCAACGTAAATGTGAAATTTTCTTGCAGTTCCCATGATTCATTTGTGTCGTAATCTTCAAACGTTTGGCATGCACTTTCCATGCATCATGATAATGGCTCTTGGCTTTTAGGAAAGCAATTTTTTAGTTTTGTGAGATATATAAATTGAAATTGTTTTATGTCAGTAACTTATGTAAAGGTCCACTGTTTTTCATGTGGTATATATCTCTCTGGTTAATATATATTTAGTACTTAAGTCTTTAATTGCAAAATATTTTTAAATAAATTACTTTTCAGAAGTTTGAAAAGTAAAAAATATTTTAATACTTTAGGTGATGCAGGCTATCCTTTGGAACCATGGTTGTTGGCCCCTGTGTCTTCTTCAGTTGTAGGATCTGCTCAAATTACCTGATGTTGAAAATGATTGCAAGAACTATAGGGACCAATTCCACCAACAGTTTTTGAAACTCATTAAGAGCTTCTGCTCTTAAAATCAGAGATAATTTTAACTAGATTTTAAAACTAATAATAATAAATATTTTAATTGTATAATATGTATTTGTTTCAGATTTTGAAGTTATAGAAGCACAAATAAAACACATCCAAAATATTTATCATACTAAATCAATTTTAGATACTTACGTATTAACGCAACCAGGCCAAAATTCACATAAATTGCCAAATTTGGCGACCCTACTTACGGCAACCCTACGTGTTATAAGTAGTTTTGTAAAAAGAGCATGTGGAGATTCACAAAATTTTCCTGCATTTTCGTGCAAATTTTTGTAATTTATGAGAAAATAGCAGTGTACATGAATAAAGTCAAGAGTGTGTGCAATGCCATTTTTTGTTGTGCAATTCTGGGATGTTTTTTAAGTAAAAATAAGTCGACGTGTACATGGTTATGGCGAATACGGTTTTCAATCAGTGCTGAAAGCAATAGCCTAAAGATTTCCGCCGAAAAAATAATTCTGCAATTATTCAAATTTGAAACAGGAAGGGTTTATTGCTATTTTATATTTAAAACAAAATAATATAAAAAACTGTATTAAAAATTATCTGTAATTAATAAATGTACATTTTCTTTCTATTCATACTTTTTTACTCAAACTTACAAATAGCACCAACCTGGTTGCGATAATACGTAAGTACCCAATTTTATTACAAAAATACACATTAGAGATATTTTAGACTTTCTTTTCTCATATGAAAATTGAATTTTTGGTTATCAGTTTTAACTTTTTTATTTTTTAACTGGAAATTTTTTTTTCGTCAACGCACACTTTTTCTGCAGCCACTTTTTTTAGACTTTCAGCTGCCAAAGCTAGTTTTTCAGTTGCTACTGCTCTTTTTTCTGCAGCAGCTGCTTTTATTGCATGAAACTGCAGCTTTTGTTTATGCAGCTCAATCTGTAGTTCAATCTGTAGTATCTGTAGTTTAATGTCTTTTTCTTTACACTCAGCTATCTGCAACTGATGTTGAGCAGTGTTATTATGAATTTGAATAAGCCTATGAGCTATATGTGCTACAGCCTTAGGCTTTTGTTTCCTTTTAGAATCTGAAAATAGTAATTGAAATTCAGATATGTCAGTATAAATTAAAAATTATCTGAAAGATGTTTTAATAATAGTAAACAATAATCCGTAATATAATCTCCAATATTTAAATAGCTTGATGTGAAAAAATTAAGGGCTAGCATCATTTCACAAGCCTAGAGAGCATTTTCATTCTTTTGATTTCTTGTTTGGATGGTTTTGCTCACTTTGTCTCATGTTTTTCCATCTTGGGGATAGTTCAGTCATTAGGACAGTTTAGCTTTAAAGTTACTTCATGTTTTCTCTTCCTGGCACGTATTGTCATTACAGCTCGTTTTTTTTTTTTTTTTAGTTCAAATTATGATAAATTCTTGCATTGTGATAAAACAACGGTGCCTAGAGCCATCAAAGTTTGAATAACATAATCTTCCACTGTATATGGACATCTAGAAGCCCTAATTTGGAATTTAAAATTTGTTTTATTAACGATTTCTTATTTTGTAACAGTTTAAGAAATTTTTGATTAAAGCACTCAATGATTTCAAAGCGAGAAATAGCAACACTGTACGGGGGGGGGAAAAAAAAAATTATCTCCAGCGCGTGAAACTATGTATCGAAAATTCTAAAGATATGCTCATTTAAAATTATTTTGTGATATTGCTGTTGAACTGAATTTTATGGTTTAAGTGCAAAGAACATGATATTTAATAAAAGTAAAACACAAAATGTTAAAAAAACGCCCCTTTGGACGTAATGTAAAATTCGAAACCTTTCAGTTAGATGCGTAAGACATCGCTTGGAAAGATGGCTCGTGTGTGATTATGATTGTAAAATAAAATATTAATTACTACAGTCCACATTTCGTTAATTTTGAATTATTTGCACAACAATGGACGCATCGCACGAACAGGGATCTTATTGTATGACCTGGGCCAATGTGGAACACTTCTGCATAATGTTACATTTGCAAACCCATTTTATTGTTAAATTCTGCATATCAGTGTAGTGTTCAAGTATTGAACTTGATATTTTAGACTGCATGACATTTTTAAACAGTGTAATCATAATTGGGAATTATTTATTATACGCTTCAGCATTTTGTTGCTATATGATGCATATTTTAAAATCTTTGTTCTGAAAATAAGATTGATAAACAACAGATAAGGGCTGTTTTAGAGGATTTATGGTAAAATTTTAAATAATGATTTGAAAATAAAATAGTTTACACTTTATGAAAAAGAAATTATGGAAATTTTAGTTAGAACATTAATTCTTAAAATGATTTTTATAAAACTGACCCACCATTTGAAACTTTCGCTATAATCTCGTTATGATGTGTTGAAGTGAAATGTTTCCTTCTGATATATTTTAATGAGCAACATCTTCCTGAAATAAAAGTAGCTGTGAAAATAGATGACTGAAAATACTCACTATTAAGAAATATTATACAAATAAAAAAGAGCTTTGAAAATATGTATTATTAAGACTTTTATACAAATAAAATGCTTTCATTTAAGGCAATGAAGTTAAAAAAAGTATTTTAAATAACCTTTTATCATTAAAACAACAAATTAAAACTCATTGAATGGCTATAAAAATTGTATGTAACACTAATATGCCTTTATTTAAGTACTCCAAAATGAAAATTTACAAGGTAGCATTTAAGAATACTCGTAACATTTAAGAATGTTACGAGATGAAGAATATGCATTATTTAAAACTAAAAACATACTGCATTTTCAAACCTGAAAAACTAGGTGCAGATACATGTTCTCTTTCCTGGGAGATACTAACAAAACTGGAAATGATTTTCACTTTTATATGCAAAAGTTACAAACTTATCTTGTAGAATAAAACTGAGTACTCTTCTGTTATAGAGTCTGATTCAGAAATATATGTGTGTATACACATACTTACGTAGAAATGTATGCATTTCTGAATTGGATTCTAATAGTGGAAGAGTACCTAAAATTCCAGACGAAATAAAAGATGAATATTATTTAAATTTAATACAGGGATGTGAATGTGGGTCATAATAACGAAGCAATAATTCTGAAATATATGTACATTTTTACTTCACAGTGTATATAACCAGTCATTAAAGCTTTTAGCATTTATTTTCTAACATGATTAATTTTAAAAATTGATATTCTTACACTGCATTCAAAATCAACTGCGGATTAAGGAACTTCATCATTTCCATGTGACATAACGCTGCCGAAAAGTGAATGAACTCGCTCCTCTAATGGTGTCAAAACTTCTTTAATTTCCGGGCCTCCTCCAGTTCCTCTCTTGTGTTGAGCTATTTTTTGCTGCTTTCTTATTGATAGAAAATTTGTAATCTCTCCATGTCTATATAAAACAGTTATATTGATGAAATTTATAATTTGTATTTTATACAAGTAAAAAATAATTACTGCTAAGCTCATGTTGTATTTTGTCACTCTTCACAGAATTATATACATTGTGATAGAATTATATACATTTTTTCTTGTTGTAACATTGGTGTAATTTAAATATACAATAATTTTTTTATATCATATAATAATACTATTTTCTAGTCTGTTAATCTTTCATGTGCAAGGACTCGTATGTACAGAATGCTTAAAAAGGAATCATATAAGACTAGATTATATTCCTAAGCAATTTATACAGAAAGATATACTCTAACAGAATTATCAAAGTAAATTTATTTTGTGTAAAGTGCACGATTTGTAGTCATGTCAAACTCATAGACTTACTCTTTTAATTCTTTAACAATTGTATAATCATTCTGTACAATAATGTTATGAATATGATAAAATTTCAAACTCTAATCATCCTGAAATATTCTATAATGTGCTTCTACAATGTGTTTGCATTTGTTTTTTTTACAAGTGTGTGGGGGGGGGAACAAGAATACAAAAGTACAAAGAACAAAATCTCATGTCAAAAAATATAAATTGAATTACGGGGTACTCTACATTATCCATGTAAGGATTATCTATGTGTGTGGTGCCAACACAGTCAATGCTATAAGAGTTACTATTTATGTAAAAAACACATGCATGACCAAGAACCGCTAAATTGCATGTTTAGTTTTAGTGATTATCTCATACAATTTATTCTGCATGTGCATAGGCAAAGGTATTGTTTTAGTTGATCACCAGAGTTTTTGTATTTTTCATACATATTTTCTTCTAATTGATTTAAAATTTTAGAACCTAAACATGAATAAAAAATATGCTAAAATACTAAGGGCAAGAAAGCTGTTTTAACTATAAAATAAAAACTCACATTAAGTGAAAGATTTGGACATGGTTAATTGACAATAAATCTTACTAAAGAATATGGAATTAGTGTGCTAACTGTTTGTGATATTGTTAAGGTAACCAATCTTGTTCGAAAGGCATTTTTCAAAATGTTTGTCATATTTTTGAATTTATGTGATTTTTTAATGAACTGTACTCAAACTTAAATTTAATCACTGCAAAAGCAATAAAAAATCATTATTTTGAGAAATGTATGCAAAAAACTGAAAATTTTATATCAAAATTAATAAGAAAATCAACCATCACTGGCAGGAAAACATTGTTGTTAAAAATATATTTTTGGCTTTATTTTATACATACTACCCAGAAGCATGCATTGAATTAGAATAATTTGAAAATATTAATTTACGAGCAAAATACGGCCAAATACGTCAGTAAACACTATTTTTTTTAATACACACGCTATTGAAGAAAAAATGCTGTAACTTAAATTCTATGGGATTATTTTTTTTAATTTCTAGTCTGCATTATGCATAATAATGTGATTCTTTAATGAAAGTTTAGCGTTATCATGGTTGCCGTGAATATAAATCATGAAAAAAACTATTAATAAAAAAATCACATTTAAAGTTTTTAAAATTGTTACATGACATATATACACAAATATTCACTAAAAATGCTCCTGCGTCGTGACAACGTGAGAGTATAATATTTAAAAGAATAGAAACATCAACATTATGATTGCCTTTTTGGCATTCTCGAACTTTCGATTATTAAACAGATTAAAAAAGTGCAGAAAAATGAAGCTTTAGCTGATAAATTAGCGCAGGAAATTTGTACACAAAAGCGAAATCTCCTCGGACAGACAGACAGACAAAGTAGACAGATGTCTTGTTTTGCACCCGCTAAGTCTTTCTGCACCGATGGGCGAAAAATCAAGCATAGGTGCGAAGGAAAGGTATATAGAAAGAGGGGCAATTTCGTATTTGAGGAGAGTAAAAAGGAACTTTGTACATTTTTTACGAGTTCAAAAGACCAGAAAGAAAAGATGGGACAAAATAAAATTTAAAATAAATGGCCCAAAAATAATAGAGGGAAAAAAAAAAAAAAAAAAAGAAAGGGCCTAGAGAAAGAAAACGAAAAGAAGTAGAAAATATCCTAAAATACGATTGTGTGCATGAGTGTAGTTAAAGAGTTCATCTGCAAAAATTAGTGTCTTTAAGAAGCAAACTTTAGCTAAGTTTAATAAAAAAAAAAAATAAATGAATGAATTCCTATATGGTACTGTGTATGCCCTTATCTTGAGACCTAACTAGAAAAGACATATATCATCACAGAGATGTACATAATATTTTAACTAAAGTAACATCAACTATTGCCGTTCCCAAAAAATTCATGTATATTTCAGAAAAACAGTAATTGACAAAATCATAAATCCATACACAGTGTGAGAGCATATCAACAAAAATAAATTATACAGTTTATTTTTCTTAAATATTAGTTAAATATAAAATTAATTTATTATAGTACAAGTTTAATAAATTCCGTCACCCTGTATTTATATTTGATCATAATTCCAAGTTTGATACCTGAAAAAAAAAGGTCGGGGATCTTAGTTACAAAAATCACAATCTATACTCATCGATGGTCAAGTGATCCCCATTTTTTCCCTCTCAAGAAATTCCTAAGCACGAAGAGGGGGGGGCCTCCGAAGGGTGTGAATTGCTGATAAGAACGGTCTACTGATAAGGAATGTGGCGTCTCTACGGAATAGTTACGAAGAAAAGAACCACATGACTTGCTACTATTATAATTGTATAATGCTAGAATCTTATGAAAAATAATAAATAAAGAAATTTAATTGCACTCTAGTGATAGAGAAACATATATTGTATAAAGAACAGAATGTTACTTATCTGAATATTCCGTGTCAGGGCCTCTTTTGGATTTCTCGCGTTGGTAGTAAACAGCTAACAAAACATCTGAAGTTTCGAAGAAGCGAAGTTTCCTTTTTCAATTTGATGAATGAGACATTGCATAGGAAAGGTGAATTAAACTTTTTTAAAGAGTTGAAAATATTTACTGAAACAGTTATTTAAAAAATTTCGGAGCTATGTTTAGACACTGCCTCCAGCTTTCGTGATCGCAGCGCCAGCCCCCATAACAAAATCCCAAATCTCCTCGGAAAGCTCAATGTAAACAAAACAATAAGTTGTTTCCAAACGTAAAAGATAAAATACATAATGAAAATAATTTGCCACATTCTCAAAACATATTGAAATGCTTAAAATTATTTAATTTATAAATTTCCGCGTTATGCGGAAAAAAGGAGAAATTGCACCTTTAATCTTTAACTTCCGGTGTGGAAGACAGTTACTTCCGGTTTGTTGTATCTCAGAAAAACCGGTATATCTCCACTTCTAATCAACATATCATGAACAGAAAAGCTGTTTTCGATAGCTAAGACTATGGCCTTAAAAAATATTAAATAAAAAAATGAGTTTGTTAATCGAAATAGGCCTTTTGAACGAGGTCGACTACCTTAAACAAGAAAAATTCATTGAGCAAAGGTGATTTGAATGCAGCAATAAAACAGCATTTTGTAAAACATGCAGTGAAATTTGATAAATATTTAAACTTTCAAATACAAAGTAAAATTACTTTTTATTTAAAAGAAATACATACATACAAGACCAACTTCTTCTCTCACACTTTTAATTAAGTTCACCATTCAGAATTTGAAACCTAGGGTCTGACGAATCACACACCATCCATTCTGCTGTATCCTCAGTACTAACTCTGAACATGCAGGAATTTCGAAGAGAATGTTTCTTAATTCTCAAGTGACAATTTATCCTCATCTTCCCCTGCCTCTTCTCTTTCCTTTTCTTGAGCTCCATTTCTTTCTCTTCTTCAATTAATTCTGAAAGTGATTCGGATAGTTGGAATTGTACTGTATATGTAAATTTTAATATCTCTTGTATAATGTACATGAAAGACCTAAGAAATAAAGCGTCAGCAGAAAAACTTAAATTCAGGTAAATGGCTGTCTCGTCAATAGTTTTAGGGACTAATGTTTGTTGCCATATTTGGAAGAAATCCCCAAACTTGGCAAAATTTTGATACAATCCCTGTATAACTGCAATTGTATATGCCGTCGAGTAATTTATGGGAAAAAGCTATACCGGAAACGACATCATTTCTCAGTAAATCAGAGAGTTAATCACAACCTTCATATTTTTCATCTTATCAACGAGAGCGCTTCGCACTCTTAACATCTTAATTTACACCACCGCCTTAGGGCAATGATTCCAAAGCATTGCTAAACAGCAATTTCTTGCTAAAAGAGTATCATTAAGGAATATAAGTTCTTTCAGATCTTAGTTTCGGTCAGATTTCAAGTCAGAGTATTGAAAGATCCCTGTGAGTGCTTAACGCATTTTATACTGTCCTATATTTAACGGTTTTAGTAGTTTATAAAGTGGTAGCTGTTGATTGTGCTCTGTCATACTGAGAAGAGCTGTACGAGTACTTTTGTGAAAAGTTCCAGAATAGTAAACTATTCCTTTAGAAGAAAAAATTTTCATCCAGCTATCATTAGTATCTATCTTTGGAGAGCTGGTTTAAATACGCATTATCGTAATATATACAAATTTAATGCTTTGTTCTTGTACAGTTTTAATTTTGTTAATCACTCACACAGTTTAAAATGTGTTAATTTCTTTACTCCACAGTGATTGTGTTGTATTGATTTCTTATCCTGTTATATAGAAAATAATCAATATCTCATTGATAGTACTCTCTTAACATATGCGAGGACAATGCGTTCAATGATGTACCTTTTGATAAATGGCTGAAGTACATTACTGAAATGAACACCAATTTAAAGTTTTTCTTTTCATGCATTTCTTGAATAAAAACTTCATTTCTTTTCATGTACTATTTCTTGAATAACTTCTTTGTGTGAATTTTTATTTCCTCTGGTTAACTTCTATTAATTTTTAATTCAATCATTTAAAAAATATTTAATTATTTTTTTTGTAATTGCCGAGAAAAATTATTTACAGTTGGTTTATAATATTTAATTACCTGTTTAATTTGACACAAAAAATTACTTACCTCTGATACCAAATTATTGTTGCTTTATTTAGTGTGTTAAGGGCTCGATCTTGTATCTCTTCTACGTGGCAGACCTGCCAAAGGCAAATCATTATAACTATTTTTCAGGCTGTTACGCAGATGACACGGCTCTTGCAGTGAAGTCTGCATGTTCCAACTTAGGCGTCAGAAAACTGCAGTCGCTTATGCCGCAGCTACAGTTTGGTGTCAAGAATGGAGAATTTCTATTAGCACAGCTAAAAGCTAGTTACTCATCATTTGTAAGATGCACTCATTAACGCCAGTTAATATTAAACTACAGCTCTTTAATATTGAAGTATTTTCAAGAAAGCTAAATACTTGGGTAAATTAAATTGGAGAGACCACATATGTAAGGGGTGAAACTACTGGAGCGATACAAAGTCTTACTCCCCTCTTAAACTCCGACTTTAAGCTAGACCTCAGAAGAAAAAGGAATCTTTCATCGCAGTCATCAAACCCCTCTTTTCATATGCCTCACCCGCCTAGGCCGTTATAAGAAATAATGACCTGGAAAAACTGCAAATAACACAGAATAAATTGTTACGAGTTCTGACATAAGCGCACTACCTTGTCTCTAACCACACTTTGCATAAGGATTTGAAAATAGAGCGAGTTCTAAAGTTCCATAGAATGAACAAGAACTTCTTTTCAAAAGCAAGAAACTGTCTGCATATGATAAAAATTATAAGTCTTCGATTATGTCATTTGTAAGTAAGGATAGTGAATTAAAACTACTCGCAGCCCACCTCACCCACGACTAAAATTTTATGACGTAACACTTTTCGTCACTGTACATACATATGTATACAGCTACTGTATTCTAAATAGTCCAATATTAAAATTTTGTCTGATTTTTACATGTTATTAATTACCTGTTCGATTGTGTCTGTTTCTTCATAATGCATTTATTCGACACACTCGTGCAGCGTTCGAGTTGCCCTTTACTGCTCGAACGATTTTCTTTTTCAGGTCTTGTTACTTATGGTCATCTCTTGGTCCTCTAATACTTTAACAGTTCAGACTTACTACATCATGCACCCACTGGGCTTTAATTCATTGAGCTGGACTCAGCAGGATATCCTGGCCATACCTGTTCGGATCGAATATATTATCAAACTTTCAGGAAATCGTTGGGCCTCTCCCATCGTCTTGGTTAAAAAGAAAGATGGCTCAACTAGGTTTTGCATCACCTTATTAATTATTAGTTAATTCCCTCAGTGCTAATGTCTCACATTGGAGTGTTTATTCCATAACAAACAAGATCACGTAACCTTTGTGTATGGGGTTTTGTTAAAGATAAGGTTTAAAGTACACCACTTTAAAAATGCATTCACAAACTGGAAATTGTGAATCAACATTGTGCTTGCTTTCATAAACATACAAACACATGGCAAGAACTGATTTATGGATGGGATATTTACAGAGTTAACTAACGGCAGCTACATCAAACAATTTTTAAACAAAATTCTGTGCATATTGCTATTTGTCTAGCGAACAAAATTATTTCCGATTTTTTGTTTACTCAAATTGCAAGTAACCCTAAATACACTTTTTTAAGCAATAAGGTATATCTAATATTTGCTCACCTTTTCCACAATGGGTTGCATCCTACAAAGACTTAATCTAGAGGAAACAATTTCATACGAGTGTTTCTTTCCAAAGTTTGCATTCTTCTCAATTAAAAATTATGGAATATTTAAAAATTTTATATAAAATCTGGTAACTTGTTTGGTATGTCAGTAATTATTTATTTTGCTACCTAGAAGAAAGTCTGATTTAGTATCTGTGAAAGACAAGTTCTCCGTTTTCACTGAATTTCCAGATGCTGTTTTTGATGACTCCGAGGCATTTGCCGTGCAGCTGGTATAGTGGCCGAAACGCCGTCACATGGACCTCCGACCTAAGGTTCTACACCAATCAGAGTTATGTCCATGCAACGGAAAAGAATCTACCATCCACTGAATCACTGATAGTAATATTACAATGCTAAATTGACAATGTCATCTATATAATAATCTGTATGAAAATAAATATACAATTAATAAATCATTACATTGTCATGGTTAGGATCTATGTTGTGGAGATTGGAACTTATATATTAACCAGTTTCTAAACCTATGTCTTCTTCAATATGTCATAACTTCACGTTCTTATCAGTTACACACCTAATGATGGTGTGTCCATATTATTGTTGCAGTTATCCACAGAGTAGGCCAGTCACATCAGTTCAGGCAGTTGAGAGTTCCATAGCTCAGAGTATATGATGTTGTGTAGACTATTCTATGTTCATATAAACTGGATTCCAAGTTAACTTTTGATAAATTCGAAGTACACTTTTGTTAAGTTCATTGTTCATGTAAGTACTACGAGTCCACTTTGATACATCATAACTTTGTGTCTTTAACAGTTTGCACAACTCATTATGTGTGTCCATAGCAATATGTACACTATTTTACAATTATCATCAGAAGCAAATGTTTTGTAAATAATTAACTTGGCTCCCAGATGATTAAAAAAAAAAAGGAAGGAAAAAACTAATTCTTAAATTTTTTTCAATACAATTCTAAATTGTGCAAAACTACATATATATTTATAACGATTCTTATCTAGGCAATAATTTATCTTATAGAATAAATGTCCTAATTAACATATTCAGATTTAAAATACAATCATTTTCAAAAACTAAAACAAAATAATATAGCAATAACATTTAATTTGCTATTTTAAGACATAGCCTTTAACTGTGAACATAACCCTTTAAAAACAGGGCAAGCGTAAGAATTAGAAGTGTGACAAATGTTGTACTGTGTGTGCGTTTCTAAATTTGATCTTAAACAGTTAACACAAGATAGACCCTTTTACAGTTCGGAACTAAATTATCATGCGTATGAGCTCAAAATAAAGAAGTTGTACAATTTCAAATATGGTGGCCAAAAGCCTGGCAACCATAGCATCTTAAAATTCGAATATATTTACAAAAAATACAAGAATGAAATCCGACTTAAACACAACCTTTATGACCCAGTAATGTCAAAGACTGCTTTCTATTTGTAGAATGAAATTCTTAATATTTTCTGCGCATTTAAAGCTTGTGACAAAATTTAAATTTGTTTCTCTCAGCAAGAGCAGCCTCAGTTACATTAATAGGAACTCCAAATAAAATAATTCCAACCACATGTGATCTGGGTACACATGTCGAAATATTGGCATCTGGAGATGATGATATCAAATGTTTAAGCTGTTCTTGATGCTGCTGTGTATCAAAACCTATCATAAGATCCCTCGAACGAGTTAAAAGCATATTTGTAATATGAATTACTGTATTTGATACATCAATTTTAACTAACTTAGATTGAAATTCAGACTGGTTGCGATGATGGAGACAATGATAACATTGTCTAAATGACATTTAGAAGAATTACCAATCATAGAAAATTTATTCTTAAACACTGAAATTCAGACTGGTTGCGATGAGGAGACAATGATAACATTGTCTAAATGACATATAGAAGAATTACCAGTCATAGAAAATTTATTCTTAAACACAACTGTTCTGGTGTCTTCTGTCAAAGAAACTTCCCTTACTGGGATAAGTATTTGCGAAATTTTATCTTTTCTGCCAATTATATTCGTCTGAAACTGTTTTTATTATAGGAATGAGAGTCTAAATATGCATAATTAGTTTGAATGCAAGAGTCTGAGACAGTTATTGAATTTGTTTGGGAAAATTTATTTTCAAAATGTATTGAAATGAAATCGGTATTTGTCGCTTGATCAGTTAGATCATCTGCTGCAAAAGTTCTCTCTTCAACGAGTTGTTTAAGATCCATTACAGACTGTAGCATAGGTGCCGTTTGCCTTTTTTTGTCTAATTAGATCAGCTTGTGAGCTAATAAGTTCCAAATTGCTTTTAGATTGTTTAAAAGATTTCGAAGCCTTTTAGTATCTTTCCTGGATAAATTTAGAATTTCTTGCTTTTGAACTTTAGAGTGAAAATAAGCAAAATCTGCCAAATCCTTTTGGTTTTCTAGTTGGACAGCACTTTCAGCCATGATAAAGACAACGGAAAAGGACTCTCCCAAAGAATCAATTAACAAAATAATTAATTCAATATCTCAAGTAGATCCAGTATTTAACATTAGAGTCTATTGAGTTATCCAAGAAAGAACCACAAAAGTTAAATTTCTATCATTATGTGAATATTAAAATAATATGAAGATAAAATTTAGAAAAATAGTGGCAACTTCATACATTTAAAGGGAATGTGGTGTACCCCAGAATTGCATAGAGTTATGGCGCTGACTGTCATAGCGATGGGCCCAGGCTTAAATCCTGGAAAAAGGCATGGCTGAAACATCTGTCCCTTCATGAGAGTGAATGGTGGCCACCTATTAAGTGCTTCCGTAATGAAATGGCCACTACTTCCAGCCCTTGTAGTGGCACAAGGTTAATGACTATTAAATAAAGCACACATGACATCACAGCTAAAATGCATTCCCATTAAAAAAAAATTTGAATTCAATGCATATGAGATTTAAAAACTATATTATTAAAACCTATTTTTAAATGATTCACACCCACAGTCTAAAAGTTTTAAATTCTTAGATTGTCTTTAGAAATTAAACAGCTATTTTAATAATAATGACCCTACTCCATCAGAGAAAATAAATAAAACAACCAAGGGCTGTGATGTTTGAATGCTGCAAGTAAACACCCTTTGAAACCTAGCGTTGCTAGCAACCTGCAGTTTACAGTACGAGCCACTTGAGATCACAATAAACAGGGTAAACAATTTGTAAAATGTTGACTTGACAGCAAAAGTCAACTGCAATTCCCCACCGAGTAAAAAATATCAAGATAGGAAAACAAAATTTAGTTACTAACATTGAAATATGAAAAACCAGATGTTCTCAACTTAAAAAAAAAAAAAAAAAAAAAAAAAAAAATGTGTACAGTACATTAAGATCAGTCTGATAAAATTAAATTTATTAAGAAATATTTTGCTGAAAATCACTTATGGTGGAGATATAAAATTCACTCAATTTAAGTATCATTTATTGCTAGAAAATATTTTGCTTAAAGTGTAAAAATTAAAAACTGGGAGATACAATAATCAGGAAGATCAAGAGATAGTATGAAAAAGGCAGTGAAACAGCTTTAAATCTACCCTGAGCAAAGTGTTGTAAAATAAGGATATTTATTTTCTTGGTATTGTACCTAACTTTTCCCATTATCTTACAAGCATATAATATGAGCCCCATTCCATGAACACAAATTTTTGCCTTTTGTTATATGACTTCATTTATCAAGTAAAAATTAGGATAATGACTGAATTATTATTTACAGGATATGTATTTGATGCTGCATTTAAATACAATTTAACATTAAAGATAAATGAACAAAATCCTTAAAAGAAAATGAGGACCTTTATCTGTAATTTGAAATATCAGATATTTCTCTGCAGTGCAAAGAAATTTTAAAATCAGTTATGACAACAAACATGCAAGTTTTAGCTCATTTATTTGCTTTTATTCATTACAAAAATTGTATTTTATGCATCAGCAATAGTTACTTCAACTTCAACACCAGGTTCAATACTGATAGAAGTGATCTGCTTTACAATTTCAGATGGGCTGTGCAAGTCAATAATACGCTTATGAACTCTCATCTGAAATCTATCCCAAGTCTTTGAACCTTCACCACAAGGAGTCTTACGAGTGGTAATACGAAGAACTCTTGTTGGCATTCGCACTGGTCCCTTAACTTTCAGTTCCTTATCTTTGGCCCCTTTAATTAAATCATTGCAAACTGAAAGGGAAAAAAAAAAGTTCCAATTCACTTGATTACACAGATGAAATGCGAATCTATGCAAACAGGCAGTTTGCATAGATTTTTAATTCATTCGTTCAATCATATACATTCAAATAAATCATCAGAAAGCAACAGCATGACTGATTCTTATATATATATTTACTTTTTAAATGGAGTGCTAGCCTGCAATAAATGTACTGCATTTTAGTTTTGACGAATCTCTTTCAATTCACTAATTTATAAATTAATTCTAGTAATAACATAGGAGGTACATCATAAAAGTATTTACGTGGTTTTGATTTTTACATTGCCATTAATGTGAGAGCTAACAAAGAAAATAAAAGGTATTAGTAAACATACATATTAGCATTAGAAGCAATATATTGTGAATTACAAAAATGTGTTTCTAAGGGAAATATTCCAATTTTTGCACTTTTAGTTTAAGGCTTTTCCTAAAAATTTAGGGGCTGTGCACAAATTGAAGAGCTAAATATTTCAATCAGTACAAAACAAAAAATATATATTAATTTGGTAAAAGGTCTTTGGTAGTAATAGATTGAGCGAAAAAGACAGTGACTTATAAGTTTTAACTAATACCAGTTTTTAAATAAATAATAAAAATAGGATATTATTTACAAAATCTTACAAGTTTGATTTCATTAGATTTACTTGATTATGGCAAAGCATGCAAAGACAATTTGCTTCAAATCTTACAGAATTCATATTATAAAAAAGTGTTATCGACCCAAAGCCAACTTGTAACACCATTTACATAAATTAAAACTGAGAAGAAAATTTTCTAGTATAATTAATTTTTAATGACTATCATATTATGCCCCTACAGTTTTAGAGCCGCATGTGAATGTTTAACATTTTTAGCAATAAAAACTCATTGTATAGTGATGCTACCTATTTTCATCTCAGATGTTCATGTAAAGATAAAGCATTGTAATACATACCACTAAAGTATGTAATACAAATAAGTTTTTTATTTTTAACAAGTTAAAGATTTTATAGCAAGGATATTTGCATTACATAAAACATTTTTGGGTACTATTCCGTTTTGAGGACCGTAAAAAATCGCCAAACTATTGTTGATGCCAGTGATGCCAAAAATAATTGCGGCAACCCTAACGCAAGAAAGGAAGTATATTAGTAAATAACTATCTAAAGATTATTGTTTTAATTTAGATGAAAGGTTAATTTCATATAATACGTTTTTACTATTATAATTTATATAACAAAGGCTAAACATAACTGAATGGAAGCATAAGAGTAAATAACTATTTCAGAGCATTATTATAATTTGTATAAAAAAGATTAAACATAACTGCATGGATTCCTGCATCGCTCTTTCGCTACTGAGTTATACCTAAAGCATAATTTCATCTCGTTGGTTGTTCAAACATAATTTTCTATAATGAATGATGCCTTCCTTTGAAAAAATTCTATTGCAGACTTTTCGTCATGGGCAATTCCCAAACTGTTAAATTCATAGGCTATCAAAAAAGGATTTAAAAATTAAACTAGTGTTTCAATGGCGTCTTAAGAAATTAGAACTATCCAAACTTACACAATTTGAAATCAGAGCGTACGCTAGATTAACAGCTGTAAAATGGACACGTTTGCTAGATTGGCGCTTTTACGCATGCATTTTACCTGCATTTTTTTACGGTCCTCAAAACGGAATAGTACCCATTTTTGTAACTGTATAGTTTCCAATGGTTGCGAAAATAAAGGTCATATAGAGACTTTTAATAGACACACTGTATAATTCAGATCACCAGAAGTCAAAAATTAATATCTACATAGAAAAAAAAAAAAGAAATGACAATTTTTAAAAACAACTAAAAATTATAAAATTGAAACACCTTTTCAAATTAGGAGCGCCAATATCCTACACATTTAAAACTGTGTGCAGTTTTTTCTTCCTTTTAAAAAATTAGAATATTACTACAGTCAAATACCGAAAATCAGCCAACCTGAAATCTGCATTACCTCTCAAACTATAAACATTCAGTTTATACAGGGTTCGTACACATTTCTGCACAAGGAAATTAAGTACTTTTAAGGACCATTAATGAAAAAAAATAAGGACCTTTGAGCAATGGGAACTGAAAAATTCTTAAAATATATATCTATGCCTGAAAGTAGTAGGACGCATATTATAACATAACTTACATAATTATTAATGTTTGAGAATAAAATTAATTTTATGAAATTATCAAGTAGCATTAATAGTATTTACACTCATATAACTGGCATATTGAAAGAAGACAAGTGAAATTTTAGTTATTTTTACTAACAGCTTTTTTTTTAATGTCTCATTTTTTTCACATACCTACTCATTTAGAGGTTTAGTAAGAGTAAGTAGATTTTATGTCACAGCATAGGTTAAAATGAGCATTAAAATCATAATCAGCATGATTTATAACAAAATACTGCTGTTGTCACACTCCTGCTTGCCTATACAGAGGCCTCTGATCAGAAAAACCTGAAAGGCCTGATGGCACAGTTGACAAGTTTTGAAAGTTAGCTGACCTCTGTCTGATGCTGTTAGTGTCGTAGCTTAGTGTAGAGTTCCAGGGGTTGTAACTCAGTTAATATACTTTAAGGTTCTATTAAGCAACTAAAGCATTAGTGGTGATAAGTTGTTTTACATTAAGTCTCACTAGATGCAAAGAATAAGTTTCACATGAATTTTTATATTTTTGTGTTTTTTACCTTGTGACTTTGATAAAGGTTTAACATGCTGTGCACGGCGCCGAATTTGCTATCCTTTCCGCCGTGCAATATTGCTAACTTAAATTATTCATAAATTATACAAAAAGGAAGGAGACGCACATAAAGTCCGAAAGTATTGTTCGAAATGTTATGATGACAATTCAAAACTATTTGGACATAGTAATAACTAATATGTGAAATATTATTAAGAGCACTATTCCTTTAAAATATGAACAAAATAAGTTTTTACTACAATGGAGATATACCAATATAATCTGGATTTCTCCACTAAAAGAGAATGAATTTGACTATGTTCCCCACTTAGATAATATTCTTAAGTGAAGCAAGTTTAAAAATAGACAGTAAAGATTATGGTGAAATATTACATCATTTGCATGACTTGCAGTTGGTCAATATTTCTCACAGTCCCAGGAAGACAGTTATTGGATTCATACTCCATTCATGTCAACATATATAAGCATAGCTGTTTTCGAAAAATTAACTGATTTGACAACTCACCCCAGCAAAAATAAACAAAGAATTAAAGCAAATTTTCGATAAATCTGTCAGAACATCTGAACATATTAAAACAAGTTACTTTACTTCCTTTTGTGACAATGCATTTCAGCATTGCGGCTCAAACAGGAGAATGAAATTCCCTGACTTTTCTAGATGTTTTTAAAGAAAATTCCAATCTATCCGCATTGGCTGTACTAAGAGGTAAATTAATTACGCTACCACTTAAAAACAAAAATTTGCCAATTTCATATGATTATATATATTTCACCAAAGCATTACTATTATGACAACAGAAATTGTTTTCTCCAGTGAAGACTGAGATTAGAATGTGCCCAATATGGATTAAAAAAAGTCTTTTTTGTAGTCGCAGTTAAACGAAAGACATCTATTCAATGATATTTTAAAATAAATTCAAGCATTTTTATTTAATTAGAAGCATATATAAGAAAAAAATATTAAATTTCATGATAATATAATATGTCATCATACTGCTAAAATTAGTTTCAGGACTACAGCAGAGAAAATTGCCTGAAATTTAAAGTATTACAGTACAAAGTTTGAAATCTGGACGTCCATTATCTGAACCTCAAAGCCACAAACATTTTTTTTTTGTATGCTTTATGCATGCGCATTTGGTTTTTCCTTCCATAATAAAACAGGTTGAGATTTAAAAATTCCAATTCTTAATTTCACTTACACACTAAATACCTTGTCATGGGGAAAAAAAAAAAATGAGATTAATAATTTGGCTCCATAGCTGAGCATCTGCTTGGCATAACATCTCAAAACCAAACATTCACCTATTTTATATCCCTGATGCTGACCCGGCGCCAGTTATTATTTATTATATTTTGCTTTCATCACCGCATGTTTATCAATACATGACAGCTTCAGTAATAACTCATGCAGCGATGTTAATTTTTTTTATATTAGGAACTGAATAACAAGAATATGGCAACCTTTTATGCTAACGCTTGGGGATGATTATAGATTTTTAAATGCTCTAAGAAATGTTGACGAGGAAAAAATTAAACACAAATTTCTTTTCATATGCTAAAAACAGATTTTCTTAATGAAACTCATAGGCCAAGAGATAACATTTAATGCTATTTTAATGAAGAATAACTGATATGTTATAAACCCAGAAACGGTGGCACCGAGTGGCAAAATTAAAGGATGAGAATTTTTTTATGATTTAGGGAAAGCAGTGGGATCCAAAGTTTAGGCGCGGTGAAAATTTAGAACCTAGGATCCGTAGAGACTGCACCAGGCGGTATGTAGGGCCGGCCCTAGATAAAGACTTAAGTATATGGGGAGTTTATTTATTCAGGACTCGGATTAGTTTTAAGCATGTGCAAGAAATAAACTCAGGTATAGTAATTAACTAAACTAATACAATTCAAGCTTAATTCAGTACGCAATAGGAGCAAGACAAAATTTAGTGAAACTTCACTTTCTAGAATAGAAGAGAAACGTGACAATCAAAATCGCAATAACAACCTTGTATTTAGCATACATATATTAAAACAATTGATTTCAAAGGCTGCTAAAGGTCCCTTCTCATCAGAACAAAATTACTAGAAAGGGGAAAAAAGAAGAAAATTAAAGCATTGACAAAGGAGTCTCAGAAACATGTAGTCGTAACCAGATTTTGAATCAGAGTTACACTGGCCGCCTACTTTTACTGAGCCAGGCTATCTGATCAAACATAAAACACATAGTCCTAAAATCCTAACATACGCCTCAATTTTGAAAACTACCCCCAAACACCAAAATGACGTGTTTATTGATCATCATAATGCTGCCAAATCCCGCATGTACCATATACAGTCAAAAGTCGTTAATCCGGACCTCAAAGCTACAAACTTTCAGCGCATGCGACACATGCACATTTAATGTATAATGGACGGTATAAGCTAAGCTAAAATTACCTATTTCAGTTAGCAGATTGCGTTGTTCCTTAATCTTCGAATTGATCTGGCTTATTATTTTTTGCAGACTGTTAGAGCAATTTTATAAAAGTAAGCTTGAACTTTCGATTATGTCAAATAGAATTTCAGATGCTGGAGCTGCCAAAGGATCTACAAAGCGAAATATGTTTCGATGTCCATCAAACAAAAAGTGGATAAAAGCATATCCTTTGTTTCTCTAACCATCTTGAAATCTGTTTATCAATTTCACGCTGCTCTGCGGGGAAAGGGTAAAAGGCTGAGGCGTGCAATGAACTGGAAGTTGATCTGTCAGCATTATCCTTATCTTCAGGGCAGATGTTTTTATTTTATTCAGCTTATAATTCCTTACTAAATGTAGTATTTCATCTCGATGTATTCTGTCTTTGATATGATTTAAATCAAATTCCTCGCCATTATAAATATCACGAGTACACATCAAATAGTTTTGTGGTTTCAATTTTCCAATTTTGACTATGCGTAATGTATGCTTCACGAATGCGCACGTAAAAGAAATGTTTAATAAAGTAAGCAAATAAATATTAAGCTTTTTTTTGTAAATTTTGATACCCTTTAGATCATAATTGCTGTTTATTTTATAAATTATGGTTTCATATTTTAATTTTATAATTTCTGCATGCGATCTTACCAGATTTAAACTGATGATCTACAATCCGGAATCGTTGAAGTCCCGACGAGTACGGATTAAAGACTTTTGACTGTACTAGGATTAAACCCATTTTGTTTATACAAGAATGAGAAGGCCATTTTCTTTAGTTCAACATGCACATGTGCATTTCTCATATCCCAAGGTTACTGAAAACCAAAGTTGCTAACACCTTGCTGTGCCTTTTTAAAAGACAACCTGATAGAAGCTGCAAAAGTCGGCTCTACGCCAGCTGCATGAATGACACTCTCACTTTTCTGAAGATCACAGTATAAAATTCCCCTTTTTTTGGTATTCCAGGTAACATGACACCTTTGGTATTTATGCAAGGCAGTTTTTTCCTATTACACTTCAACAAAATCCAAATGCAGAAATTGATTTGAGAACTCTGGTTTCTAGCAATGTGCCCTATATTAAAAGAATTTGCAATTCGAAGATTAAAACATTTTAAAGTCGCTGCAAACTAAAAAATATTTTTTAAAAACATTGCGGATAAACATTTCGGTACTACTATTCGGTTTCGAGGGCCGTAAAAAATCGCCAAACTATTGTTGATGCCAATGCTGCCAAAAATAATTGCGGCAAGAAAGAAAGTATAATAGTAAATAACTATCTAAGATTGATGTTTTAATTTAGATGAAAGGTTAATTTCTTATAATACTTTTTATTATTATAATTTATATGAAAAAGGCTAAACATGACTGAATGAAAGCATAAGAGTAAATAACTATTTCAGATCATTATTTAATTTATAAAAATTGCTAAACCTAATTGAATGGATGCCTGCATCGCTACTAGACTTATCGCTAAAGCATTGATTTCATCTCGTTGGTTGTTCAACGTAATTTTCTATAATGACCTTTTCTTTGAAAATATTCTCCGGTAAAGTGCAGAATCGCTCACTTATTTGTTTGCCGCTTTTTACAAGGGTAAAAACAATTGTATTTTTGTCAATTTTCTTTTACTTTTTAAGTGAAAATAGGTCGATGTGTACATAGATAAAGTCAAGAGTGTGCGCAGTGCCATTTTTGTGCAATTCTAGGATTTTTTTTAAGTGAAAATAGGAGGTCGATCTGCACATGGATACAGAGTATGTGCAATTCTTAAAAACGCTTTAAACAGTGGGGGATTCTTCAGTTTACCCAAAATTCTATTGCCGAGTTTTCGTCATGGGCAATTCCCAAATTGTTAAATCCATAGGCTATCAAAAAAGGATTTAAAAATTAAACTAGTATTTCAATGGCATCTTAAGAAATATAGAACTACATAAACTTACGCAATCTGAAATCAGCGCGTACGCTAGATTTGGCGCGCTGTTAAATGGGCGCGCGTTTGTTAGATTTGGCGCTTTTGCGCGCACATTTTCGCTGCAATTTTTTTACGGCCCTCGAAACCGAATAGTACCAACATTTCTTTTATAGGGTATGGTTTAAAAAATTAAACATTTATTTTGTTAATCTAATATTTCTGCTTAATCAATTATAACTCAAAAACCAAATTTACTCTAGTGTCCTTTAAACATTTTAGAACCTAAAAAAAAGTTTTGTGATGAAAAAATTTGAGAAATATAGTAATACTGCATGGTCTGGAAGATCCGCAAAAGTACATGGCACTCACTACCTTAAGATATTTATAAGTGTGCTAAGAGTAGAGCTATGAATACATTTACAATTATTTGTAAAACAAAGTAACAAATTAGTAATAACTATAAATTCTTTACATGTAAATGGTTCTTAAAGCAAAGTGCTACAACAGTTACCTTTACTAGGAACATAAATCAATGATTTTATTTACAGCAAGATTTTTCCATTATAAATTCAATGGATTAACTGGCCAACTCTGAGATGAATCACTGGGCAACATATGTTGTCAAGCGGACAACCCAGAATTTTAAGAAAATGTATTTATCTGACAAGCCATAAATGGTTACATGTGCATTATACAGTGTGGAATTCAGTTTTTTAAATTCAATGGTCATCTCTGTCACTGCTGCTTATGAACTGAAGTGATTATGATAATATCTTTCCCCAAATTATTTAAATTCTCTAACCTTTTCCTTAAATATTAAAACAGATTGACTGATTGAATAAGAAAAGAACAGAAAAGGACACCTGTTCTTGAGTGATTATGATAATAGGTTTCCTTAAGTTTGTGCGAATCTGACGTTTTTTAACAGTTGAAAAGGTGGACATGTACGTGAGAGAACTTGAAGGAAAAAGGCATTTTATTATAAACATTTCTTGCATTTTTAATATTCATTACGGATGTTTTTTGTATTTTAAATTTTGTTAATTTGTGGCTGTTTTATGTAATTTTTAGAGTTGCTATTTTTTTAAATGGCTACTGTTTTTCATGTGTGAGGCTGGAGAAAAATAAGTCGCCAATAATTGGTGTGCTGTAGATTTCAGGAGATAATTTGGCAGCACCAATTTATTTTTACCATCAATAATCTTATACAGATAGTTAAATAATTACCTTTCTCTAAACTTCTAACATTTAGACTCGTAAGAGTGATTCTAATTCGATGATTTAACCAGTTTTGGGTCTCTTCAACACCAGGCTTCATGGTATCCTTGTATGCTGCCTACAAATTAGATTAAAGAATTAATTAGCAAGCACAACATATTTCAAATGTTTCATTCCAGAATCGATATATTTATATTTAAATCGATGCAAGATACAAACATGATTTTCATGTTTGATATAATCTAGTGCCATTAAATATAATTTGTCAAAATATTAATAAAAATATTGGCTTTTGCTTCAGCTTACATCAAAAGCTGTTAAGATAGCCGACGTGACGTAAAATGCCTCCAATACACATTTTTTGCATGTTTTGAAACCTTATAGTTAATCCTAAGGTTATTGGCACTTTTTAGACCATTATGCTTTGCCATAAAAAATCTGCTTGCAATTTTTTTAAATTACAACTATTTTTGAAAGTATAAATTATTGTCTGCTACTTTACAGTTACTTTTCATGTAAAACGTCGCTTTTAAAGGAGAAATGGATGGAAAGCTGTGTTTGCATTCTTTCTTAACAAAACTATTCGTATATTGTTATTAAAAAAACAATATGAAAGCATGGTTTTTCAATATCTAATGCTGCAATATGCAATATTGTCAACAACAAAGGAAAATAATGTCAAAATTTAGCTTCAAGTGCAACAATTGTTCCAAATACGGAGCCAAGGGGAAAAAAAGGAATGCTTCGAATGTTAAAGTAAGATCTTTTTCAAATGGCAAAAGAAAATTCTCCAAGTCAAAGGACAATTGCAAAATCATTAAAATGCTCAGTATTAACTGTAAACAAAGTAATGCTGATTTTAATCTTAAAAAGGCAATAAAATATAAAGTGCATCATTTGTCTCCACAACATATCACTGAATGCAAAACACGCTGCAGAGTTCTTCGAGAAATATTTATCTGAATAAAAATGGAAAAATTTTATTACAGCAGATGAATCTTGGGTCTACTCAAACAGTGGCAATAAAAATAGATCCATTTATTATCATCAAAAAGAGAAAAAATCTTAAAAACATGCTTCAAGGAATGTACAGAAAGTTATCCAAAGGGATTTATGATGGTTCCTAGTTTTTCATGTAACAGCTACTAGAATGTTTAGCTTGAAATAAACAGGTCATGTATTGCATACCTAGTGTAAGTACTCACCGGTTAAGAATATATTATCCAGAATATTAGGTAGATATTTTTAAATATTCCTTAATTAGTAGCACTTCTTAAAAGCTAAGTTAATACAGAAGAATAAGAAACATAACGTGCAGGTTTACATAATTTCTGCAATTTTTTGTTTTAATTTACCATTTCTCCCATTATCATGTTTTCTCGTTTATAGCCACCAAAAGGCCTCTTTAACAAGGATATACCAATATGCACTTTGCGACAGCCAATTAATAAGTAATTATCAATTATTACTAAATTAAAAACGATCTTTTAATAGCTCCTGACAGTTAAAATATTATATAAATTAAACGTTTAGCATATTGCATATACGTAGATGATGTTTATAGGGTTAGATTGAAACACGTGTTACGTAACTTAATGACAGATAGTGAATACAAATATAAAACTAAAAATTGCAATGTATTGAAATCTTACCATAACTTTACCAAAGACTGGCCGACGTAATCAATTTCTTAAAAAAAATATGCAGAAATCGAACAGCGGTGAGCCAGCTAACACAATTCAACACGTTTTAAAAGTTCTTGGGTTGAGTTGCAGCAACAATGTACAAAACTACACAGGACGAGAAATTGTGCGAGGCTTTGCTAGTTTGTCAATGAATTGTAAAGAGATATCGTTTGCTAAGTTTAAAAATTTTTGAAAATAATATATACTAATTCAGTAATTTTTGCGACTTTATCTTGAAATGGTTGGAGAATCTTTTTATTTGCTTCGGTTGTTGTTATTTATTAAAGCCTTTATTTTGAAATAAAGCTTTAGTTTTCATTGATTTTAAATTTATTTAGTAGTTGGAGCAGTTCGTAGAATTATTTACAATTAAACCAAAAAACATCTATTTTTATTGTAAAAAGGCGCGTATCTTACTTGTTTCTTTTTCTGGCATTGGCATTACCGCTGTTTTCTGTGTTGTCGTCAGCAATCATGGCATCAGATTTTGCGGTTTGTAAAAAATTTAAATTTTGTCTTACTTTTAATTCAGAAATATATGAAATGTGTGTTTTTTTTAAATTAAAATAAATTCAATATATAAATTGACAATATTCTGAAATAATATCTTAATTAGTGATAGTGTACTATCACTGATGACTAACCGCTTTAAAATAAGTATTTCAAATAACTTATGAAATACTGAATTTTCATCGTAACTTTAAAAGTAAAGCATGAACAAATAAAGTATTCCGTGAAATAAGTATATGCGTTGTAAAATTAAATACTAATTATAATGAATTAATCAACACACTTTCTTAAAATCATACATTTATTGCAATTTTTTAAGCATTTCTTCTTATTTGTTTAACAAACAAAATGAGTGTAAGTATTTCTATAATTATGATTATTTGGAATTTCTTTTTCTTTTTTCATCTGTCAAATAATTTGGATAATTCATTATTTGATATAATGGAAGGTCTCTCAAAAAACATTAACCAATATTATAACCAACATAATCAGCATCATACAACTTAATAATGTGATCATTATATAAATATGATTACACTGTTCCTTTACTTCAAATGCAGACTCTTTAAAATCATGATGCAATAACTATTTGCAGTTCTTCCATATTTCAAATCTTGTGTCTAACCATATGTAGGATCTATTGATTACATTCTGTGGTAAAAGTGTATTTAATGGTGGCTCTTGGCTATTTTTGATGGTACATGGACACCGAGTTTGTGCAATTCTTTGACTTGTTATTTTGGCTTTGTGTAGTGGCAATTTTTGCACCAAAAATCGCTGCTACACAAAAACAAAATAACAAGTCAAGCAATTGCACAAACTTGGTATTCATGTATACATTGACCTCTCGACTTTTTCCATGTACACATCAATATATTTTGACTTAAAAATTGAAGGAGCACTCAATTCTACGCTAGAGCCAAACAAAAAATATTTAATCTCAATAAACTACGTTTTAAGTCAAACAATGAAATAACAAAAAAGAAAATTTATCTTATAGCATCTAAGTACTACACAAAGGAAATATCCACTTACCTTTCTTAGAAATTTCTGCATCTTCAGTCCATGGCAGACAACATTCCTTAACAGCATCCAAAAACTTTCCTCAAACTGTGGTCTCTTTCTAATGGAACACTTTATATGGTAAGCATTTGAACCTTTCTTGTGACAAAGCCATTTGAACGATATTTATTTTTGACCATACTCATTTTTTTCGTACGAACAGGACACTAATAATTCCATTGAATTACATCCAACAAAGTTTCTTTTTTTATGTTCTCAGCCACTTGAAAAAAAAAAATCTTCCCATCTCTCGTTCTATACCACCAAACACCCACTTTACCACCGGCAGCCATTTTACGATGCACAGCTCACAATATGTGACATACTTTCTTATTGACATCCAACAAATATTTCCCTATCAGTCAAATTCACCACAATCACGTCATAATAGGGTTTCAATAACATTCAACTACTCAGGTTACCATAAATGAAACAACAACTTCGAGGTAATCCAAAGGATCACCCATAGATATACGTTAAGCCAGGACACTTATAATGACTACTAAGTAAACCTTCATTTACACAGCAGTCAATTAATGTTTTTTTTTCTTTTCCTTCCAAATCATGCAGAAATTTCAGATTAATACAGTCAAAAGTCTTTAAACCGGACTCGTCGGGACTTCGGCGATTCCGGATTATAGATCATCAGTTTAAATCTGGTAAGATGGCATGCAGAAATTATAAAATTAAAAATATGAAACCGTAATTTATGAAATAAAGAGCAATTATGATCTAAAAGGTATCAAAATTTACACAAAAAAAGCTTAATATTTATTTGTTTACTTTATTAAACATTTCTTTCAATGCGCGCATGCGTAAAGCATACATTACGCATAGTCGAAATTAGAAAATTGAAACCAGGCAACTATTTGATGTGTACTCATGATATTTATAATGATGAGGAATTTGTTTTAAATCATATCAAAGATGAAACACATTGAAATGAAATACTACATTTAGTAAGGAATTATAAGCTGAATAAAATAAAAACATCTGTCCTGAAGATAAGGATAGTGCTGACCGATCAACTTCCAGTTCATTGCGTGCCGCGGCGTCCCCCCTTCCCCCGCAGAGCAGTGTGAAATTGATAAACAGATTTTGGAATGGTTAGAGAAACAAAGGATATGCCTTTATCCATTTTTTTTTTCAGCAGTTCCACTTTTTGTTTGATGGATATCAAAACATATTTCGCTTTGTAGCCTTTGGCAGCTCCAGCATCGGAAATTCTATTTGACATAATCAAAAGTTCAAGCTTACTTTTCTAAAATTGCTCTAACAGTCTGCAAAAAATAATAAGCCGGATCCAATTCGAAGATTAAGGAACAACGCAATCTGCACCATTAACTGAAATAGATAATTATATCATTTTAGCTTAGCTTATACCCTCCATTATACATTAAACGTGCATGCGCACATGCATATGTGCATGTGTAAAAGTATTACGTGCGTGCGTGAACGCCTATGCGTATGCGTTGACGCATGCGCAGAAAGTTTTTAGCTTTGAGGTCCGGATTAGAGGTCATTCCGGATTATGGGTGTCCGGATTAACGACTTTTGACTGTATCATCACATACAGTCATTTTATGGTGTACAGCGCAAAATGAGCAACGTACTTCCTAAGTGACATCCAATGCAGAAATAAGCCCTTGCAAATATTTTCTAATCAAAATTCACCAAAATAACGCTACCAATCATGCCATAATAGGATTTCTATAACATTCAACTACTCATGTTACCATAAATGAAACAACAGTTTGGCAATAAATGAAACAACCTGGCGATAATCCAGGAGGCACCCTCAAGTATAGGCTAACTGATCTTTTTCATGTGATATTTGATAGTTGTGATCTCAGAGAGAAGTCGTAAACTTTCATATAAGTGTAAAGTTATTAAAAGTTACATATGAAAGTAATTGTAAAATTTCTCATAATTGTCAATATCAAAATAATGACACTTATTTGAAAGCCTATATTTAAATTCAAAATTTAGGCTTTTGAAATAACAAGTATGTAGTGGGTAGCAGTCTAAAGCTTCTTGTGTTATGCTTCTGCCATCCAAAGTAATGAGCTTTGTCCAGCTAGTGAATCAAGGAAATTTTAGAATAAAGAGATGAATTATTGATCCTTTTTTTATGCATCCATGTGTGGATTTTGAAAGTAATGCACGTGTTTTCAGAAATAATTCACACTGAAGGACCCATAATTACTTTCTCTTTCCTGGAAAGATATAAAAAATATAACTTTACTTCTCCATCGGTGTAAGTTGTGGCTTGTGATCATGTTCATAGATGATAAGTCGCGCAACGAAGGTTCTCGTGGTTTTAAAACATGTCTGGCCACTTGTGACAGATAAATTGGATTTACTTTGGAGGAAATTAATGTTAATAAAGAGGAAATGCAGGCTATTATGAATCGAGAAAATTCTGTGCTGCCATTGTTCTCTTTCAAGATGACTATGAAATAATGGATATGTACGGTGAAAGATGAGGGAGGGAGATGAAGATGATACGCAGAACAAAAAATTATGTGAAAAGAAACTGATGAAAAATGTGATCTTTGATGAGATTTTGGGGGAAATGTTCATTAATATCTGTACATGTTATGAAGCTTGATTGTATATATATAATGAAATTTTTAAATAATACTGACAGTCTTATAAGCAGCAGACCTTTGAAGTTATATGTCATCATATTAAAAAATTCATAACTTTCATGTGATAAAAAATATGTTAATTATAAATTGTTTAATTGTGGTTTTCTGAATTATAAAATCATGCTGTGTGCTTTCATGTAATCTGTACAATTTTTTATATTTATTTAATTGTGGCCATAGATCAGAGGTATTACTGATCGATTCCATATACAGATGCCATCACAAAACATGAGCAAGTATGTTGTAGAATATATATTCAATTATTTGGAAAAATCTCTCATCCTTAATTGGTGCAGTCCCACTGCTGCCGGTTAAATGGGATTCTACTGTAGTATCCAACATAGCTTAACCAACACTGAATTACCAACTAACCAATACTGTTTTAGAATGTTAGGAACTTTTTACTTCTGGAAAATTAAGCAAATAAGAAACTCTTAATGCACATATAACTAAGCAGTGTCATTTAGTGAAAATAGTGAAAAAGCATAATATCGCAACAGAATACAGTACAAAATCCGTAATCCGGACTCATCGGGACTTCAGCAATTCCAGATTAGGAGTTTTTCTGGATTATAGATCATCAATTTAAATCTGGTAAGATGGCATGCAGAAATTATACAATAAAAAATATGAAACCATAATTTGTGAAATAAAGAGCAATTATGATCTAAAGGGTATCAAAATTTACAACAACAACAAAAAGCTTAATATTTATTTGTTTACTTTATTAAACATTTCTTTCAATTAAAGTTGTTTACGTTTCTTTTTTTTTTTTTTTTTTTTTGTTGTGTGTGTGTGCTAAACATGCATGTGTAGCATTAAACGCACATGTGTCAAGCATACAAAAAAAAAGTTTGTGGCTTTGAGGTTCGGATTATATATCATTCTGGATAATGGGCGTCCAGATTACAGACTTTGTACTGTAGTAAGATTCCTGCTATGTTTGTAAGTAAACCCAATTAAATATTGACAAGCCAATTTAGTTTTAATTTTTAAAGAATATAAACACTTGTTTTTCCTCACATTTTTGAAGAAAAAAAAAAAAAAAAAAAAAAAAAAGATTAAAATTTGAACCTGCTTTCTGTGGAACAGCTTGCAATTGAATATTTTCAAAATTATGAGATTCTGGCATGAAGAAAAGTGTGTGTAAATGGATATGATATATATGATTGTTTGAAAAGGGATAAATAGTGGTAATGTAAAAGCAGTGATACAGGATTGAAGTTCTTTAAATGATATCTTTTGATTATCTTAAGTAAAGAGCGGTCTGTTCCTTTAAAATTCTACTGCAACAAATGGTGGTGGTTTGGTGACATTTCTGCCAATTTTCACGGTTAACAGAATTTGATTATTGCATAAGATGTTATATTTGCATATGTTCAAGATCTATGGAATGTATTGGTTTTCATATGTGAAATGCATTTATTTTCAAATCTAGGCTTTTGATATCAGTAAATAAGATTTTTTTTTTATAATTTTAGACTGGAAATGGCTTCTTTCATTTGGCTTTTCTATCATAAACACTTTTTTTAAGACTGTCATCTCTAGCAACTGGCACGTCCCAAGCTTTCTGGATAATCAAATTTTTACTTTAATTTTGTTGCACTTTTAAACTTGCACAACCTTATCAATTTGTTGTTACAAAAATTTATTAAAGATAATATTGTCCTTAAAAGCAGCATTAAATATGTATTTTAGTAATCTAAAAATTATTATGCTTTGATTGTTTATGGTCTTCATTATACAAATTAATGAGATATCCTAACTATATGATTTCAATTTGCAGATGGAGCTGGAGCATATGAGCCGGTATGTTAGTCCTGTTAATCCAGCAGTTTATCCTCATCTCACCTTAGTTCTTTTAGGATTTGGACTTTTCTTCATGGCGTGGTTTTTTGTGTATCCTTTATATCAACTTATAAATTATTCTGTTAAATTTAATAAGTTGTTGTATACAGTGCCGAAAGCTATAGAAACTTTTTAGAAACTATGTATTTTTGAATTTTAACAGATTGTAGCACTAATATATTTTAATATTAACATGTTGATTGCCATGCGCATTTTACATGGTTTGCCCATGACGCCAACTTGAAATTTTTATTATGCCATGTATATTATGTTGAAATATTATCTACAGAAGATAATGGGAGTTATATAATCGTGTTTAATGCGTAATGCGTTTTTTCATGGTGTGGGTCACCGGTGACCCCCCAAGCCTCAGTCTACCATTATTGCAATTTATTATTTAATTTTTTTTGATTTATTATTCTTCAAACCATTATAGTAACAATGGTACTATTTAAAAAATTTATCAGTATCGATATTTACTCTAATTATGTATTTTACTATTGGTCGTGTTGCCGTTCACCAGTGGCACCCACTGCGCCGTAGCCAAGTCGAGTGCCTGTCACCGGTGACCCCCACGGCAGTCAACGTGTTAAACCAAAAATTATATAATTTTTTTGGATCTGCATCCTATCGGAAAAACATGTTACCCCATCGAAAACTGATGTTCGTTGGTAACTTTGGAGAGAAACATTTGTTTGAATATCTTTATGTATATTTCAAAGATGCATCTAGTGCCACATATTTTTTAGATATGCATCTGTTATTGGGACCAGATTCAGAAATGTATGTAAATATGCATGAATGGATAAATGTGTTCATGTATATGTATGTCCCGATAACAGAAGAGTGCCATTTTTTACATTCATTAAAAAAATTAAATGCTTTCCTTTTCTTAGAAATCCTTATGTAATTTTTGGTGCTGTTCTCATGTACACAGGAATGTCTTTGCACTAAAAAATATCAGATGATTGCATAAACTCGACATTGTGTACTAGCTATTATCACAGTTGCTCGAGAAGAGTTGAAACTTCAATGTACACTCCACTATAGTGAAAGTAAAAGAGTGGAAACTCCACAGTTCCATTACAATTCATTATGAAAAATGTATTCAATGCAAAAAGAAATACTAATCAAAAAAGTGACCTTTGAGTTTCAAAAATGCAAGTCCACATATACTCAAACACATACTTGCTATATGCATACCCATTTGTGCTACATAAATCCTTTTTGGCAATATGGTGTTTCATGGTTATTTATCAGTACTTTTTTTCAGCTTTGAAATAATTTAACAGTTTTATTGATGTTGAATGTAATGAATTGTGAGAAAATAAATTGCTTAGTATTTCTTGATTTTGATTTGTTTTTTTAAGCAGCCATTTACTGCAATTATAGGCAGTCACTAGGGTCTTACGAACTAAACCAGTTATTTTAGCTGGTCAAACTGCATAGTTTTGTACATGATTATGCTATTATTTCTATCAACTGTATCTTATTGTTTATTCCTTCTGACTAACAAATTTCCTTAACTGGCTCCAAATGCTTTTGAATGAGCATGGTTCAAAGTTGCTGCCTAACCATTTTAACAATATAACACCCCCCCCAAAAAAAATAGAAACATGATAAGACACAGAGTCTTTCTGAAGTATAAAAGTTTTATTATTATTTTACTTTACTATTGCTTGAAAGCTGACAATGTTAATTTTTGCCTAAGTATGTACTTTTTTGCTATTTGAACCCTGCATTAGTGTGACTGTTTCTCCATCCAGTTACAAATAGTTCTGTCAAAGTACTAAAATACCCCACTACACTAACATAGCTGCACTGACAATCTCACAAAGTTTTCTGATACATTTTGTTGCTCTACATTCCTGTAAACTGTTATACATACTTTTTATACATTTCTATTATATTACACTAAAATTATGTTACACAATTGGTGTTGCAAAATCTCCCAATTCTTCTGGTACATTTCATTCTGTCACTATCAAATGTAAGTATTCTGGTTTAATGACTCCAGCTAATACTGTTCCTTTGTTGTTCTGGCCAATTAATATATTTTTTTCAGCCCAATTTAATTTTCATATCTTTATATGAGAGATTTAAGGTTTTTACAAGAAATTCTAGGATTTAATCCCAAACATTAAAGTCTGCACCTCTCATGCCACTATGTTTGCATCATATTTATGTAAGCAATTTTAATTACATTTGATGATTTTCTTCACAGTTTTATAATTCTTGTATCACAAGAGGATGTAGTGTACCTTCTCCTACTTTTAGCAGTTTTATTTTTTTCAATCAACTCTGTTACACCTGTTTCAAGATTTAAAGATTCCTGCACAGTTTCCACATACTGTCTAATAGTTTTGCCATAATTATTACTTTGTTCCACTTTGTAGAAATAGATTCTTTTGAATCTTCTTCTAAAATGACTGTATGACTTGTTTGCTTACTGTTATAAGCAAAATTTAAGAAACATTATTGTAAAAAATGCACAAAAATAGCAGAATCATTGATAGTTATAAATTAAATAATAGATTTTACTATCAGTTTTGGTAGTGAAAGAAATCTGTTTTTTCATACTGATACCTAATTGAATCAATTAGGTAGCCTGAAACATTTAATGTACTCTCAGTTTTTATTTGTAAGGTACCCTTTTATATAAGTAATATAGCATTTTTTAACCTATCTCTATGCAACTGTAACTTTTCCATATTATTGATAATTGACAAAGATAAACTGCTTTATATTTTGCCTAAAATAATTTTCCAGTGATATTAAACTTCGGATTTCCTTTAAAAAAAATGAAATTATACGTGACCATATTTCAAAAACACGTATATTTTCTAAAAGTTTTTCGCTATTTTGGCTTGTACATGCAGATTTGTTTTAAAAATCTGAAAATGCATGAAATTTTGTAAGTGTTTGAATATTTTTACTTTAATAGAAAAAGAAAACCAAACATTTGATTTGTAAGTTTTGGAGAAAATTATTTTAGTTTTGACACGTTTTTAAATTGTGTCTGTAGAATTCAAGGAAATATTCTTCTTAATAGTTATTTATTGCCTTACATTCATGAAGGAATGTAACTACTAACAATTTTATTTCACATGTTGTTAGTAATAATAACAATAGTGTATCCTTTTTGTTTGAATGAATATATGGTATTAATTCAAAATGGATCTAACTTTGCATAACAAAAAATATTTTTCTTTTAACATTTAATGATACCATTAGTTTGATATGGTTGGCATAAACATTTCAAATTAAAAAGTTCTTGATATTTACATTTTTGTTTTCAAAGAGCCTGAAATACATGTTTTCTGGTAGAACTTTTTATGCATAAATTGTGAAAAAATAATTACTCAAAAAATTGTTGTGATGAAACTAGGCATGAGTAATGAGAAAATAAAAATGAAGTGGTTAACCCTTTAACTGTCAAGTTATTTTGATGATTTGGGTACACAAATTGTCAAATTTTTTTATTGGAAAAACCAAATGTAGCCGAAATAAACATCTCCCAATGTATATTTGGGTATAATAATACGATGCACTCAAAAAAAAAAAAAAAAAAAAATTACCCCGAGAAATACTCGGGCGTGACATTTTCGAACACCAGTGCTGTGCCCGAGATAATCTCGGGCATGACAGTTAAAAGGTTAAAATTGAAGAGCAGTTGTTCTATTTTTTGAGCCAACTTAGATCTATAACTATTATATATTAATAATGAATGCAAATAAAGGAAAATATTTAACCTTTCATGGACAATTATCAAATGCTTTCTTTTATAGTTGGCTACCAGATATTTAAATTTGTATACCTATTTTAAATTGAGTGCAGCTGGTGGCTTAATATAATCAGATAAAAAGAATGACTTAGTAAAAACTATGACTTTTGACAGTGTTCTGTGAGCTTGGTTTAATGTCAAAATTCTACCATTTTCAGGCTACCTTTTATAGCTATTTTTGGCTACCTTTTATAGCATTAATACAATTCTTTAGCCCTCTTCAAATGATTACACTTTTCACTTCACTTCACTTCCAGGCTGCTAAAATAATTAAAATTTAATTAGTGTAATAGTTCCCTCCCCTTGAAGCAATTTTAAGTTTATAGCTTTAAATTTATTTTACGTTTAATAAGAGGAGCAAATGCAATGTTGGATTGAAATAATCTAGGAAATTTTTAAATGCAGTTTGGACTCTCATAATGACCATTTCTTTATGGTAACTGGTTCAAAAGGTTGCCTTTGATAGAGTATATTAAATCAATTTTAAATGCATCTTCGCTATGTCCATTTTTATGTGTGACGTGATGGTTCATTATAGCAAAAGTTGAAATTAAAAAATTTTTTGTCTGTATTTCGAACATTAAGCCTAAACTGTCTTCAAAAACCACGTTTTGAATTTGCAATTTAAACTAAAAATCCGAAACAAAAACAAAACATTTAGATAATAAAATCATAAAGTTTCTAACCAAAAATATTTGATAAGAATCCATGTACACAGCGATATGTTTTAACTTAAAAAAACATCTACGAATTGCACAATCTAGGCAGCGAAAGGATCTACGAAACGCACACCATGCTTTAATAAATTAACAATAAATTTCAAAGAATACCATGTACACAGCGATATGTTTCAACTTAAAAAAGCATCTACGAATTGCACAATCCAGGCAGCAAAAGAATCTACGAACTACACATACCTCGCTTTAATAAATTAACATTACAACAATAAATTTCAAAGACTACCATGTACACAGCGTTCTGTTTCAACTGTTCAACAATGACAGCCAAACACACTGTCCAGAAAATTCATACTATGGTTCAAAAATAAATATTCAAAACCTTCTTTTCCTAAATCCTTGTACGATTTCCAGCCATCCGAAATAGTTGTACAAGGCTCAATCCACTCTTTAATACACTGCATCACCGTTTTCTTACTTCTGTAGGCCCACCAACGGTTGAGCGGTAAAGACGCTGAACACTGGTAGTTCGGTCCGAGGTTCGAATCCCACGAACGGGCTGGCTACATGGGTGTTTTCCTGGTTTTCCCCACGTGTAACTTGTATATGAGCCAGTTTCCCTTAGAAAGTCCTCCACCAAGGCATTCCTCCTTTTAGGCAGATAGCCCTCGTGTGCTTTGCCATAATTAAATAATCCAATCCATCCTTACTTCTATTGCGGCCCACCAGCGGCCGAGTGGTAAAATCGCTGAACACTGGTAGTTCAGTCCGAGGTTCCCGCGAACGGGCTGGCTGCATGGGCGTTTTTGTGGTTTTCCCATGTGTAACGTGTATACAAGCCAGTTTCCCTTAGAAAGTCCTCCACGAAGGCATCCCTTCCCTTAGGCAGATAGCCGTAGTGTGCTTTGCCGTATTCTCAATATACCACTATACCATCCTTACTTCTATCTTGCACAGCCACTAAAAATAATCTCCCAGACCCTGTTGCAACATAGGCCATTTCAAAACACGCACGACACAAACCAACGAGCAATTAAACCACTCCAGGAAAAGAGTTTTCAAGATCAAAAAGGTTGCCATACAACACGCAATCGTGCCCAAAACCAGCGCAGAACACATATTGCCACATTAGTATGCATATAAGAGTAACTAAAAGTTAACTGTATTCCATGTACTCTACAGTATATCTTAAACAAGTGGTTCTCAATTAAGACACAATAACACAGCGAATAAATACTAATTCAGAAGTCAAACAACAAATTTTTCACAGGACTAGTTTCGATGGTTCGGTAAAACCATTGAAACTAGTCCTGTGAAAAATTTTGTAAATATAACGCTGATTTTTGTTGTTTGACTTCTGAAGTGGTTCTCAAGCATACTTACGATTAAATCTTTTTCTTATGTTCATCATAAAATTTCTTTATAAGTTTTTTTTTAGTGATCACTTGATTGTTTATTTAGTGCATTTTTAATTTACTGGAAAAAGATATGTATAATGCGGTAAAGCTATTCAAAAGCTATGTTTTTTTAAAAAATCTAAACATTACTTTGTATAATCATTATGATCAATAAATGAAAATAAAAAATATATATATTTTAATTCGACTTAACTTGCAATTTTGTTTATAAATTTTGAACAAACATCAGTAATGGAAACCTCTCATTGATGAAGATAATAAACAGAAATTAGTCATCTATATGCACCTAAATTATTACAAACGATATTATTTACTTTGGTGGAAAGCAAATTTTTTACTGTTCAGTGAGTTTCAGTGATTTAAAATTTATACTGCCAAGGGATCAAAATAAATGGTTTTATCGTTTGGTAGAAACAGAATATTGTTGATTTCTTTTTTAAAATATTAAAATGAAATAATAATTAAAAAGTAAAAAAAAAGGTTGTCCAGTATGGAGAGATAAGCTTAGTGTTTGATTGAAGAAAATGTCCCTCAGTCACTTAAAAACTTTTCTGCTAAATTTATATCTTGCCATTTGCCTTATAGCTGCTCCTTGAACTCATGACACCTCTCCTTGATGCTGCTGGGGTGGAGTTCTGTATTGCAGTGTAGGAAAGATTGTTTTAGGTTATATTTTGGTTCCGTGTTGTTAATTTTTTATACCTTATAGATATTACAGTCCATGATTATTACATTTTGCAGTGTAATAGTGTTTCTTATATTTCTTAAAAGTTTGGATATCTGTATGTAATTATAATTGCATAATGTAATGTAAAAGCTGTAACTGTATAGTATAAGTAAAGCCAAGTATAATTTTAATATATAGTTTTATTTATGTAACATTAAATATTCCATAGTTACTAAAAATATGCTTGCCTTAAATGTAAGAATTTCCTTATATTTAAGGATAAATTTTCCGAAGTAAAAATGTAATACAGTACAAAGTCCGAAATCCGGACCTCAAAACCGCCAACAACGTTTTCTTGTAGGCTTTCGTATGTGCACTTCATTCCCCCTCCCTACATAATAAAACATGTGGAGAGTCCCGATTCTTAATTTCTCCTTGACACTAAATAAAATACCTTGTTAATTGAAAAAACAATCATTTTAGCATAAATTTGTACGATCAGTAATTTGGCTCCATTGCTGCGTATCTGCTTGGCACACATATCAAACTGAAATACTCCACATAGACTGTTGAACATGTTGAACTGACTCCAACCTGGGAAATCATTATATATTATACTTTCCTTTCATCACCGCATGTTTATCAAAACATTACAACTTGAGTAATGACTCATGTGGCAATCAATGCCTAAACAAATTTTTTATGGTAGTAATTGAATAATAAAAGAGTATGGTAACCTTTTATGTTGACATTACGCTTGGCGATGATTATAGATTTAAGTTAAATGCACTAAAAAATGTTGATGAGGAAAAATTTACCAAAATTCGCTTTTCATATGCTAAAAATAGATTTTGTTGATGATACTCACAGACCTGAAGATTATGTTTAGGGCTATTTAAATTAAGAATAACTGATTTGTTATTCACATAAACCTGGAACCTGTGCCAGGGCTCGTTTGGCCGCAGAATCTAGGATCCACACAGACTGCATTAGGCGGTAAGCTATCTAGCGCCTGCATTAACATTTTAATAAAGCTTAAGTATATGTGGGAATTTATTTATTCAAAACTCTGATAAGCCTTAAGCATGTGCAAGAAATAGACATAAGTATAATAAATAACTAAGCTATGCAATTCAGGCTTAATTGTCTCAGTGCACGATAGAAGCAAGATAAACTGTAACAGAACAATTTGTCGTTAGTCGCCAAGCTCATTATGCATAGCCAAATATGTATAGTGAAGAATAGCTAAATTTAACGATGATAGCTGCAATTTTAAAGGTTTTCGGATATCGCAAAACAAAGGCGAAATTTCCAAATTAACAGATTTTGTAAAGAAATGTAGATAAGCGGTAATAAATGAAGATGATATAAAAGAAGTTTTTCATTGTGATAACAATGCTTCTCAATCATCAATCAATTAATGAATGCCGAAATTTTGTAGTATGGTTCTAGATCCAGAAAATACTGCTACCGATAGTGAAGAAAGTAACAGAGAAGTTACTGAAAACGAGAAACTTTTGATTGACAAGTTAGTCGAAATTCTCGAAACAGCTGTTACAGGACTTCACCAATGTAACTGAACAAGAGATTATGTCTGTCTACAGAATTAAAGAGATGGTATTAGCACAAAAAATGAGGCAATTTAAACAACTTACGTTGAAGAAAATTGTTTAATAAAATAAATAAATATTAAGATTTTGTTTGTTAAATTTTGATACCCTTTACATCATAAATACTTCATTATTTCATATTTTTAATTTTATAATTTCTGCATGCCATCTAACTAGATTTAAACTGATCTAATGTCCGGAAAAATCCCAAATCCAGAATCGCCGAAGTCCCGACGAGTCCGGATTTCTGACTTTGTACTGTAGTTATTTTGGCTTATTGCAATTCTGACAAAGCAAATCTTGGTTTGTTATCCTTCCTTCAAAAATATCTGTAACACGTTGATGCCGGTCTGACCCATTGGTGGGTCACACTTCTCTGTTCCATGGGACGGCATGACCCACCGGTGGGTCAGTCTTGATTGTTCTGCGGGCCGGCATGCCTCACCGATGGGTCATGCTTGTATATAAAATAGTATGTAGTAAAATAAAAATTTTTTTTTTAAAATTTTAATTATTCAACAGCATACATTAACATTTCAATATTATAATCAAACATTCAATGCAAAACAAATAAGTTAAATAGTGGGTATTACTGTGCAAGAATTGAACAGTATAATTTGGTGCTGCGCCACTCCATGAAAGGGACCACTAATTCAAGTGCCACCACACGAAAAGAACAATGAATATCCGCATCACCGTGTGAAAGTGGTACTGGCCCATAGGCAAAGGAACGGTACAGAAAAGTTAGTAATAAATTATTAAGGATTTGTTTTCAGTCATTTGAGTATAGTAGCTGCTAAATTGAAACCCACTCATACATGGCTAATATGATTAGTGGTAGTTATGCATTTATGTAATATACAGTTATTACTTATGTGATTTATTTAGTATTTAAACAATGTAATTATTCTCTGTAGCGTGATAATTAAATTCCTTCCTCTAAATCTGTAATTTCACTTAACAGAATACCTGTTTATAAAACCTGACTAATTTTAGAAAAAAAGCTCCTCCCCTCCACTCCCCCTCAAAAAAAAAAAAAAAAAAAGAGTGAAAGTCCAAATGTTTGAGTAAATATGTTACTATTTTTATAAATATTTCTTGTGTAATCAAGTTCATAAATATTTTTATTTGCACATAACCAGATTTTATGTGTTATTAATGTGAAGTTTTTAATACCTTAGTTTTACTTAACACATTTTAGTTATGAAGTAACTTCAACAAAATTCACACGTGATGTTTTTAAGGAGCTACTTATATCATTTGTTGCTGCTGTGTTCCTTGGTTTTGGTGTGCTGTTTCTACTTCTCTGGGTTGGCATATATGTTTAAAAAGTAATTTCTACCATTTAAATATTCCTTTCAAATTTTGAAGTGTTATAAAATAAACCTGAATTGTATATTTATCAGTGTTTTGTTATTCTTTCCTTATTACAGTAGTGTTCCTGAAAAGAAATTGGTAGTATCATAAATTTCATGAATTTTGATGCAAATTAAAATCAGTAATTTATTAGCAATAGCAACAAATATTTGTCTCTGTTAGACTAAAAATTCAGTTACATCAATGAAGAAGTTTATGAGATTTTCTGTAAAATATGAATTCAGTACCGATTTTACCATGTCTTTGTTTACAAATATTTTTCATTGGCAGAACTGCTGCAGAAATTCAAAAAAGTGAAAAATTAATGAAATAGCTTTGGCAACAGTCAAAATCCTAACTCCTAGATCTGTTGTTAAGTAACTTTTGAAAGAGGTTTTATGTTATTGTTCAACTTTTATTTTATGCTGTGTGAGTTCTCTGTTTCAACATTTTAGCCATTTGATCTAATTGTTGGCAATAAAAATTCCAGTGTATAGTCCATTCACAATAAAAGATCTTCCATTATTTCTTTACAGTTCTACATGCAGACATAAGATACATTTTACATAAGATTTGGATTTAGAATTTTGCCACTCTGTTACATAAAAACATTTATTAATCCATCCGCATATGTGCTGGGATAAAATCCACCCCACATGTAGTCTTTTCTTAGAAAATAATGGAAGGTTGTATGTGACCTTTCTACTACTTCTTGTACCTTATGGTACAAGAAGGTTAGTAATGGTACTGGCCCATAGGCAAAGGGGGTAACTGTAGGTTAAGAAGGGATTGTCCAGAGGAAATTTTCCCGTGTCCTTGGAATTTTGTGTTTTCACCGAAGGAATGTGAAATGTGATTGTAGCTGCTCCTTGCAGGTGCTAATTTTTCACTTCTAGAGAGACATTCATTGATATAAGTGTGTACAAGTGAGAACAGCAATCTTCTCGCTAATGTTGAAACTAATACCGAAATTGAAGATGCTGATTCTAAGTGTGATAACATTTCTGAAAGTGCTCATGAAACTGATTCTGACCAGCAATCTAACGATTCACATGGTTTAGGGAGCATGTCTTCTTTGACATCAGATGATTTTTATGTGTTAAAAGATGGAGCAATGTGGAGTAAAAAGTTACCCTGAAAAACATTCAGACATGGCCGCACACATTTCCCTGGTGTCAAGAAAATTTTTAAAAATTTGAAAATGCCAGCTGAGTGCTTATTGCAAATATTTAATGATGAAATAATGGAAGATTTGGTGAAATCAAAAATTCTCTGGAGAATGTGATGCACAAGAGACAAATGTAGCTGAATTGAAGGCGTTGCTTGACCTATTATATTACGTTGCAGTGCTGAGAGCAGCACATCTCAATGCGAAAGATTTGTGGTCAACTGAAGGAAGTGTAATAACCATTTTCCAAACAACAAATGCCTATCAACCAATTCCACTTCCTCTTGAGGTGTATTAGCTTTCATAACATAAATTCAGGAGCACAGCAAAAGATGATAGTTAGACTGCCTGTGTATTCTTTATCTGAATATCGTACTATAGACAAAAAATTAGAGCCCTTTTGAGGAAGGTGTCAATTCAGACAATATATAAAATGTAAGCCTGCAAGATGTGGAATAAAAATTTTGGTTTTGTGTGGTTCTCATACATTTTACATATACAACCTAGAAAATTATGCAGGTCAGCAGTCTGTCGGACCATATAGACAATCAAATGTGGTATTGGATGTTGTACAAGAACTTATTGCACCCATAAGTGGCACAGGAAGAAATATAGCTATGGATGATTGGTACATGAGCATTCCTTTGGCCAATGAATTATTGAAAAAGCACAAATTGACATGTGTTGGAACACTTCAAATTTCTGCCAAATAAAAACAGACCTCTCTGAGGGATTGATTGGTTAAGTTAGAATAATTTGAGGAAGTAAGTTTAAATGAAATGCAGTAAAAAATGTGTACAGTTTATAAGCCCATGCAGGGAAATTGTGGTGTCCACATCAGATTTTTAACTTCTTTGTACGAAATAAAGGAAGTATTGTAATCGCAAAACAATTTTGGGTATCATGTTTTAATGAAAATAACCATTTTAACCCCTCTTGAATCCACTTGAACAATGTTTTTACGCGACATCTGTACATATGAACAGAATAAAGGATTCTTTTTCCCAAAATTTATTGTAAAATAGTTTCAGAAGAATTTTTTTTCGCAACATCTGTGCATATGTATGCATGTATGTCTTTCTTATAAATCAAAAAAAGAGTAGCCTCAGAATATTGAAATTTTGTATATTTGGACTGCTATAACTTGTAGTTGTGCACTTCCGTTTTTTTGGTTTCAAAAGGTCACACCAAAAGTGTATGTATATGTACAGACTCTGTTACTCGTCTTAGTGAGCTCAGTTTTTTTATTCTTGTATGTTGGTTTAAATTGTGAATTTTTTTTGCTTTAAAAGTGATTGAATTATGTTGTTCTTATGTTCCTGTTAAGGTTTTTATGTCTTTAGTTAATCTGTATGCAGTAGTTATAGAATTATTGCAATTTAAAAGTTGTTTAAGTGCTACTAAGCCTAACACCATTTGTTTACGTTTGAAACTTTTAATAGAACAGTGAATTCAGTTTCTGCACCAACTGCAGTGTCTTTTTCCAAAGTGGGACCAAAAGTAAACAGTTTCATGCATCACAAAATCTGTCTTCTTTCTGCTGGCCAGATTGCTTGTTTTTGCGTAGAAGCTCTTAATTTTAATTGTAAAATTTATGTAACTCTTTTTTTTTTTTTTTTATTGTATATGCTATTTTATGTTTTTCTGTATTGTACAGTTTTTAATGAAGCTATTTTGACTTTTTGTGTATTTCTTTCTCACTGTGAAGTGAAAACTGAATTAAATTTTTTGAATGAGAAATATATCTCTAATGAAATTTGAGGAAATAAGTTTGAATGAATTGCTGGAAAAATTGTGTATAATTTAATAGGCCATACAAGGAAGTCATGTGGAAGTCATTTTTTTTTAATATTTGCCTCAAGCTGTATTTTCACAGACAGTCTATTGTTAATTCATTTTCTTATTTGACAAGGTATTACATATAGGGTTGGTCGGAAGTATGGTTACACATTTGGTCTCATCAAGTGATGATCCCATAACTATAACTATACCTATTATCGCTGCAGAAGTACAGTAGTGTCATTGAAAACCAATTTGTCGCTGAGAAACTATACCATCTTAATTTGTTTTAAATTTTCTTTCTTTCTTCCTTCCCCCCTTTTTTTAACTTCCTTGTGCGAGGTAAAATAAGTATTGTAATCATGAAAAAATCTGTGTACCATATTTTAACAAAAATAGTTTGACCACTATCAAATGTAATTTAACGGTGTTTTTGTATGACATTTGTACATAAGGACAGAATAAAGGACTCTTTTTCCCCAAACAAATTATAAAACTGATTTGAAATGGATTCAGAAGAGATTTTTTCCTTGATATCTGTACGTTTGTATGTATGTATCTCACATAACTCAAAAACAAGTAGCCTCAGAATGTTGAAATTTTGTTTATAAACTGCTATAACATGTAGTTCTGTACCTCCCCTTTTTATTGCAATTGGCTGCACCAAAAGTATATATATATGTACTCTGTTACTTGTCTCAGTAAGCTCAGTTTTTTTATTCTTATATGTTGGTAAATTGTTAATTTTTTGCTTTAAAAATGATTGAATTATTATGTTCTTATCTTCTGGTTAAGGCTTTTATGGCTTAGAATCTCATGCAAGTTTGTGCAAGTGAAATGTCGCATTTAAAAGTAATCAGAAGTCAAACAACAAACTTCACAGGACTAGTTTCGATGGTTAGAATTAGACTAGTTTCGATGGTTTCCTGTGAAAATTTTGTAAATATAATGCTGATTTTTATTGTTTGACTTCTGAATTAGTATTTATTCGCCTTGTTATTGTGTCTCAATTTAAAAGTTGTTTAAGTGTGGCTAAGCCTTTTTTTTTTTTTTTTAACCATAGCAGCCGTATTTGTTTACATTTGAAACTTAGAATAGTCAGTTAAGTCTTTCAGTGTCTTTAACACAAGTGGGACTAAAAGTAAACTTCTAATTTTGTACACCAGAAAATCTGCCTTCTTGCCTGCTGGCCGATGCTTGTTTTTGCATAGAAACTGTAATTTTAATTGTAATTTTTTAAAGTTGTTTTAACTGTATTAGGTGTTTTATGTTGTTCTATATCTTTCAATTTTTAATGAAAATATTTTGAGCTTTTATGTATTTTTGCCTTACCGTGAAGTGAGAACTGAATTAATTGAATGATGAAATTTAACGAAATAAGTTTAAATAAAGGGCAGGAAAAAATGTGTATAATTTAATATTTCATACAAGGAAGTCGTGGTGTGCACATCAGCTTTTTTTTCTGTGGCGTGGGCTGTGAAAGCAAGCATTTTTACAATCATTATCAATATTCTTGCATTCGTGTTGTTTTGATTCCTTTCAAGAGATTTTCTTTTCTAGATGTTTCACATCACGATCAGACATTTGCTTCACTTTTCCATAGCCAGTGGCAGTAGTAATATAGTGCTAATCTTGCAACTTATTGTTCATTCTGGTATGCCATGCTGCACTTGTAATTTGATGCTGCATGTTCAGCTTCCTTCTAAGTATTGGCATAAGCTGAGGCATATTTGGAATGTAAAAATGAAGTTTCAAGTTTGTATTTTCACTCATTAAAATATAATATTAACTAATTTCCTCTTCAATGAACAATCAGACACTATATTTTAATTGTCTAACTATTTTATGACTCTAAACTAATTTTAAATTATGTTCTCTTTTCTTTAATAATTGTTAAATAATGAATATAAAGGTATCTTTTGCTCTAATTATACTTTCTCTTTTTAAATACCTTAAATTAGATGTTGGCTTTTGAGAAAATGAAAACTTGGCTGTCCCGACTTTTCTTTTTGTTATTGCCCAGCTTTTTTTGTTGTTCTGGTTACTTTATATATATAAATTTATATTTATTTCTTTAATAAATGAACATAGTTTTACACATACCTAAAGAAATGCTTTGAATGGGAAAGTTTTTAAAGTTATCCTCTTCTAAGTCTCAAAGCAGACTGAGAAGCTGGAAAATAAATTTCCCCAGTACGCAGTTGAATGGAGAATTTCCAGATTTTGTTCCGGCAGCTGAATTACCATTTTCAGTCAGTAACTTTAGTTAACTACTATAGTCTGTTACTTTAAAATTGGCACTTCAAGGCCATTGCCAGACCCCCATTTGTTATCAAGACTCGTGTCATCATCACTAATGGCATTTATTTTCTCCATGTCATTTAAGGCTCTAGTTCAAGATGGTCTTCATTCATGTGCTTTTCATAAAACAAAGCATGGTAAATGGAAGAAAATTAGGAGGAAAAAATAGGTAACTTGAACTTTTTTCTGCAATTTTTTTTTTTTCTTTTTTCTTTTTTTCCTCTGTTTACAAGTGAAATCAAGAGAGGGAAATAACCTTAAAGTTTCTGAATTGAAGTAACAGGCTATAACAATTGTCCTTTAGCACTCATATTGAGGGAAAATGATTCCAAGGTCTTCCTCTACTTGCAGTACCAAATTAGGGGTTATTTTTGGATCTAGGCTTAAAAAAATTGCCCCTCAGGATCTACATAGTTTTGGTAGATTGCATTTCTTGGAACGTTGCTTGTTATATTTTGCTTCTTTCATTGTAAAATGTTTTGTAATTGTGCAAGTGGGCTAATTTAGATAAATTATGAGAGATTAGGCTTAGAGATATATTCAGTTCATGAAGGGAAAAGAAATACTTGATGTTTATATAAATTCTAAGATGCACTTTTTTTCATATTTACATGGGAAGAAGAAAATTTCTCAGTTTATTAATAATATTGTAACATATCACTTTACTTATGTAATTTTATTGTTTACTAGAGAAATAATTTTAAAACAACTTGTCTATAAGTCATTGTAATTTTGTTCCTATTTTACATTGGGGAATTATCATAGCTATACATTTATGTTGTGATATTATGTTTCAGGTATTTTCTTTTCACTTTTAGCTGTTTTGTCATCATATTTGAAAATTCCAGAAACCGCAGAAATGCCTGCAGCACATTATTCTGAAGTTCCAGAACTCCAGCATCAATCTACTCAGTGAACAGTTTTCTATTTCATAATATGTAATATTCTTTTTATACTGAAATAAACTTTTGTACAGAGCATATCAGTTTATGTATGTAAATAAACATACTTAAGTATGTGAAATAAATTAATAAATAAATCATATCTTTGTTTATTTTACTTTTAGCTGGGTTTTTATTCATTGCATATAAAATGGAATTGTCTGCTTTAAAGAAATTTTTATTAAGTACTTTTTTTTTTATTTCTGTGTTATTATGCATGTCATCTATTTTTGACAAAATTTTTAATTGTTAAGTATATCTGAATTCAGGGCTGACTTAACATATGGGCTTACTGGGCATTTGCCTGGGAAACCCATGCTAATCTGTACTTTGATTGTATTTCATTGCTGTGAGTGGTTGTCGTAGAGATCATAAGTTTGTTAAAATGCAATATTATGTACATGTACAAAAAAGAAAAAAAAAAAAAAAAAAAAAAAAAAAAAAAAAAAAAAACCTCCTGTCCTCAATTTATTTTTCAAGGTACAACAAATAAAATATTTAATGTATGAGCAGTTAAAAGTATATCTTAGCTATTAAAAGATTTGCATCACATTTCAAGTCTACAAATGTCAATATTTGATTAAATTGATCTTGCTGTGTTATGGTATCTTGCTATGTTGCTGTGGAGGTTTTTTTTTTTTTTTTTTTTCTTTGGCTGTAGAGAGGTTACATAAAAATTAGAAAGAAAGCTAACAGAAGAAATTGTTTTTGTAAGCAGTTTTAATGTTATTAATGCTTTTGCAGTTATTTAAAATGGTGGCACTGCACTGACTTATTTTTAAAATAGTTGAAAAGGTATCAAGAAGATATAGTCAATAAAATTTCTTAAGTGATGGGAAATTTTAGATTTATTAAATTACAGTAGGGCTATCTGCTTAAGGTGAAGAATATCTTTGTAGAGGGTTTTCTTAAGGAAATGTAGTTCATATTCATGTTGCACATGGGAAAACAAAAAAACTTATGCAGCCAACTAGTCTCCTGTAATTTAAACCTATTAGACCATGGGTGCAAAGTTCATAAAAAAAGGGGGAGAATTTAATTCAAATAAAACTATAAATGGCTGGAGAAATAGTGGATGCCATATTAATGTACTGCAAAATTTATTTGCTGATGTGTTAAGATTAGTTCCCTCAGTATATTCTAGGTAAATGGTGAATGTGCTATCACAGGTTCTATGTTCAGAGGCTAAACCTAGTTCAAACTACCAGTATTCATTGGTATATGTACTTATCAGCTGGTGAACTTAAAGCTCTTTAAATATATGACCTTGTTTAATTATACTAGTTAACTGGAGTATAAACAGTAGCATATTTTTTATTTCACATGCCATTTGTTTAAACACTACTATATTCCAACAATGTAGAGTACATTAATGTTGACATGGTATTTAAAAGTTTAATATAATCATCTGGATGATCTTTCTCAAAATACATATGAAGTTACATTATGTGTGAACTTTGAGAATATACTGTCTGTTTAGGCATAAATTAATGGCAAATGTGTTAGAAACATTCAAATAAAAATCGATAACATTGAAATAAAAGTCTTTATTGATATGTCACATGGTAAATGAATTACTAGTCATTGAGAAACTGTTATTCTTATCTGCCTTTCAAAAAGGATTGCTAAAGATCATTTGCACATTTGTATCAAAATTCAACTGCAGTGATGAATTTCTTCATATGCTTTAATTCTGTCTGTATTTAGAAGGGCAGAAAGAACTAATTAATCATAGATTATTAATGACTAATTATATAGTCATTAATAAACAAGTAATAAGCTTATGGATGGTATCATCAGTCACTTGTGGTTGTTTACATGATGATTAATGGTAAAATACAAGGTTGAGGTCTCAGAATTTTAGTCATATGTTAAGTATAGGTTACATGTTCAAAATCTTTCTTCACAGGGATAATTGTTTCTTAAGTGTTGTTACTTTTCTTTGATTTAATGAAAAATAAATAAGTGTTATAGCTTATAACTTTTGTGTGTCAATTTTTCTTCAGAAAAATTCAGCAATTTCCAGTTTTGTTCATCAACATTTATTTTTTCTTTCACATGAAATACAATGTACAAAGTTGAGACTTTTACAAAAGACATGCTGATATGAAACATTAAATTACAAAGGCATGAAACATAGCCTTTCTTAAACTCTGAATTATGCAACGCTCAGTTAACAAATTGTATATAAATTAAGATTATTTACTTCCTAAGAATACCAATCACTATATGACTTCAGTCCAAACAATTGTATAAACAGCTAATATATTCTAATTATTTTTAATTTGGCTAGACTAGAATATTGTGCTTTTATGGAGTATGAAGTAATTGTTCAGAGTTCATATAAACCTGCACATGATTTTTTTTTCATATTTTTGTCATGTATCTGGTTTTTACATCATTTATTAGAAAGCATCAATTCATATTTGCTTAAAACCTGGGAGTCTACAGGATGATAAAAGCAAATTGTTTCTGAACTTGCAAAATCATGTCTAAATTGAATTTGAAAACTTTATAGTGCTAGTTATACTTGCATTGGTATTAATTTAATTAAACTCTTTATTAAAGCGAAACAGCAATATTAAGTTTTTAATATTGCTTTCAATTTTTATTTTCTATATTCTTACATTCTTTATAGAAAGGATTTATCCAACATTTTCTTAGATATATTTAACCCTCTGTTGCATACAAATAATCTAGAGAAGTTAAATGAAGATGTTTGTATTTTTTCTACTTAAAATAACCTTAGTAATGATAAAAAAAAAAAAAAAATTTTTTTTCAAATTTTGTTTTAAATAATTGTTACAGTTTGTTCACTACAGTGGACAGCATGCATATACGTACATGCATACATGTCTTCCAACGAGTTACGGTCAGTGCATTTGAAATCATTCTGCCTGTTGCAGTGATCATACCATCTATATGGTAAACTACACTACATGTGCTACAGATCCTCCAAAATACTTCATTTCCGTCGATTTTGATTAATTCCATTTGCTACGATTTTGTAACCTGTACCTATCGGATTCAAGTCAAATGTTTAGAATTCCTGCCAAACATAACATTTCCAGTGGTTTTTTTGGCTTGATAAGCAGTACATTTGGGTTTCAATTTACTCTTTTCGGTAGATAAGCCACAATTTTCATTTAAAATAAAATGTTTAAAATTACTAGTTATGAATAAAAAATGGCAGTATAGAAAATGTAAACAATATTATATAATGTTTACTATGAGAAATTTTACTAACTTGGAAACAGAAGTAGCAGCCATTTTCCTAATTGCAATGCTTTACTTAGTGATGCTATACAGCCATCTATTATCGACAGTTGAAAGTTATAATAATATGGAATGAATAAACACAGGAATGGAATCTGATAAGGCATTTACAGAAGAATAAACAAATTTAAACTTTTGTCTACTAGAGTGGACATGAATGCAACAAAGGGTTAAGGATGCACCATACTCAATCTATACCAGTATAGTAATGTCAATCTCTGCAATAATTACATAATTTATGAGCATATTTTGTACATTCAGGATTAAATATCCTTACTACTGATTAAAAGGAAACATCAGAATTTCAAAGAAAATAGCTGAAAAAATAAATCCATTACTCTCTTATCTCCTAGTAACACACATCTTTTAGTAACATAAATCAAATTTAAGTTAAATTTTATATAAAAATTATGAATTTGCTGTAAACAGAAGAGTTGCATTTTATATCGATTCACATACATTTTTTAGGGCATTTTCTTAACTCACAATGATTAAAGTAATTACAACATTGGTTTTAATAAATCTGTGTGCTGAAATAGATTGGGAATCAGTTGTTTTATGCAGTGTTATAAATAATTGCCCTTTATTTGAAACAAAGTTATTTTTTAGTTTACTGAAAGTGTAGAATACTGCAATGTTTTTCCTCTTCAGATATGCATTAACCAGTAAATATGCAGTTTGCAACATTTCAACATACACTTATTACATCCGATGACATTTTATATCGACATGGAATGTTCTAAATACTTAGTATTAAAAAAATCTTGTCTTTGCTTTAAAGACCTAATATTATATTATTTAAAGTAATTTTCAGATTAGATTTTTAGCTAATTGATTGTTTTAGAAATATTATAAAAATACTTTAGCAATATATCTGGTACTTCTTTTTTAACTAGTTAATAAATTTTTAATAATTTTCCAAATAACTAAAGTAGCCAAAACTAATTAGTCACCAAAACTAGCAACTTAATCACTAGATTTACAACATGCAACTTGTTAATTTTAAATAAATTCAAAGGGATATGCTGTGGCTGCTTTAGTAAGGAATTAACCAATATCTTAATTCCAAGTAAAGTAAGAATATCATCTGCAAGAAATTATTTTGGGAAATATATTTTTAGCATTTACTTATTTCATATTCCTCTTCGTTTTCAAGAACAACAATCTACAAACAATTAGCTCTTGGAATTTGAATTTTGAAGAGCATGGAACTGAATTATGCTTTAATTTTATCTTTTATTATGACTGAAAAAACTGTGAATTATGTTCCATTTTCGAAACTAAAATATGTTCAAATTATATTCCATTTGCCTTTTATTTCAGTTTTATTAAATCTTAAGAGCAGTTCAAACAGCAAAACATTTAAACTGAACAGTTTTTGTAGCTTTAAAATTACAATTATGTTAATAAAAAAAACAACCAAATTAATTTTCAAGGTGCTGTAATAGAAAAGAAACTGAATGCTTGTATAGTTAACAATATTTCCATAATTGATAATATTCAGTCTATTCATTATTCTGTATTACTAACACATTGTAAGGTTACCGATCAGAAATTAAAAAAAAAAAGTTAATAAATGACTTGATAGAAACAGTCAATTATTAACTTAAACATATATTTTCTGCAGTTTTCTATAAGAAATCATTAAGAAGATTTACCATGTTGATACAAAATGCAACAGTCAAGCTTTCCACTTTTATATACAGTGCTTAATATGCAATTCATAAACTGTATTTTTTCAAAAAATATTGCTTTCTATCATATGTCTTTTCTTTAATTATTTCAAAAGTACCTGCTATGTTAATATACATTATTGATATGCATAAATATAATAAGCATATT